CCGCCGCGCGCCTCCAGGAATTTCCGACTGAGGCCGACGAACCAGTCTTCCCAGAAGGGCTTCGTGGCGGAGAGGTTGGTCCGCCAGACCCACGGTTTGGAGGGGTCTGCGGGCGTTTCTTCTTTGTATAGGAGGGATGGGACGGAGACTCTGGCGGAGGTCCTGTTTCTGATTGTCCGGGATCGTGTGCTGCAGTGGTCACTTAGCTTCTAATCGACATGTCTTTCGGTGATGAGAGGAAGAGATATTCGACATACTGCCACTCAATACCCGATGTCAACGAGGGAAATCTAGAAGGGCGCGTGGAGAGATATTTCTCCATGCTTTGGAGGGCATCCATGGCTGACCCTGTGTCATTTATTGTTAGTACAATCCTTGAAATAGATAGGAGCATCATATACATACCCTCGACAACATCCAGAACCGCATAAGCCAGTAATTTGTTACCGAGCTCCCCCTTCTTCGCAACATCAGTAATCACCGCACCCCCGAGGCTATGCCCCACAAGAACCAGGTCGGGAAGCTCCCCCCAGCCCATTTCTGCCTGGGTCTTGCGGACCACGTAGACCAGGTCTTGGTGCAGAGTCTCGAGGCTGAGATCTAGCTCGACAGCCCCTCCGTCAGCTCGTTGCACCGACGTCTGACCGTGGTCACGCGCGTCGAAAGACAGGACCCCGGCTTTGGGGAGGATCTTGCGGATTTCCTCCGCGCAGGTTGCGAACGAGAGACCTGATGAGCCGGCTCCATGGTGCATGACAAACAGCGGACCTGAGTCCGTGGGTGGCGTGAGATAGACATGGTGGACGATGCGGACGGAGTCGGTTTCGCGAGTTAGAAAGAGCTCTTGGGTGAAGAAGTCTGACCAGCTCAGTGAGGACGAGTCGGATGGGCTGGATGTCATTAGCTGGATTCTCACAATGAGACGATGGAGTCCATGGGATTGACAGGTGAATGCATTATGCACCCGGGAAGCGGATGCACCTGCCGTAGGATCGTGCTAACGTACCCTGGGCTAGCTCTAGCAAATAGCTGCCTGCTCGGCGAGGGAATGACAGTCCCTGCTGATGAGACTGAAGAGGAGTCCTCATCGTGACTGCTTTCAGCGGGTTGGTTCATTGACGGAGAGTCGGATAGAAGAGGTGCCTCGGGCGGCAACTTGGCCAGTTTTGATTTGGCAAAAGCCTTGTGAAGATCGCTCATTGGCGGTTAATATCTATGGCTATATTCTGATTATATATGTCTCTATATCGCCGTCAGAGCAGATTCGTTAATCAGGGAAGGAAGTTCATTTGACCGTCTATCTGGAGATGGCGTTGTGGTAACGTGGGGTAAGCCACACCTGAACAGGGTGTTTTGACACTGGACTAGATATAGCGGATCGCAGGAGAAATAGTACTGACATCTACAATGATGTTTATTTTATGAATTCAATTGTCTTATTATCGAAGCATCGTGGACTGCAATGCAGATGTGACGGATATGTTGCTGTTCTTGTTTTAGTAGGCGGGCAGCGCCGCCCTGAGCTGGCGGGTGAGTAAGCACCGTTCGCTGCTATAGATAAAACACCCACCACAATTCACGCAGACGGGAGGGCCACATCGGGTGTAGGAGCTTTTAACCTGTCCAGTACGATATTACGGCCATTCATGGAATTACTCCGATCAGTTCTACTTGTACAATTCGCGGTGGGGAATAATTACGACTAGATCATATGTTGGTATTGGGGTATAGGTCACAATACGCAGTAAAGTATATATATCTTGATAGTTGTAGAAATGGCCAGTCTGCAGTTGGTACACCATCGCCCCACTATTTCTACAGACAAAGTAGAGAGCAAGGATAATTACATATATCGAGTCAGAGGTGGCCAAATCCCATCCGCGTAGAACAATAGCAGGCCACAGACTGTCGCCTTGGGGAAACTCAGAACGTGCTCCTGCCAGAGAACACGCATCGCATAGCGGATATTGCGGATGCCATCGTGTCCGCGTCGCCTCGTCTAGGCTGAGAGGGCTGGTGTCTGTGTTGACTGTGATGGCTCCATCATACAGCTGCAAAGTCATGGAAAATCTCGAACGAAATGCAACCAAACTGATCTTGCAGGAAAAGGTGCTGTAAAAATGTGGATGGCGGGGTGGGTTACCGTCTTCAAGGCTGATGAGCACTTCCTGGTCTAAAGTCTTGTATACTGCTTGATGAATTACATTCAAGATTGGATGTGTGGAATGAGAAGGCCTTCAAGAGGCTTGTCTCCTGGCCAGTTGTTTAAGTTGCCAATGCTATGGTGTCAGTAGTTGCCCTGAACCGAGAGAGATATATATAGAAAGGACAGCCAACAGAAGCTGTGAAGACCTAGACCACCTCCAACTGGGTAGCCGATCAGATCAAAACATAGCACCTCTACCTCGCTATAATAGGACCGAAATAGTGCCTCCTTTCCTGTGTCAACAAGTCTATCCCAAAGAGGTACTTCTATACTGATGAGTAATCTATATCACGTGATTATTCAGTTGTCGATGACCTCACTGCGTCTGCAAATCAGGGATCTGCGGGAGCTGCATCAATGGATCTTCAATGAATGTTTCTATCGGTGGCTCTGGGTCCCGTCAAGGAGGGGATATCCCCATGATCAGCTGGACACAAAGCTCCGTTTTCGGCAGCAAACATGAGCTTATCTACTCCCAGATCCTGTTCGGTATTACACGCTCGCCTTGATAATGAGCCGCTCGCTGGCTGCGTTCGTCATGACGTCAACTGCACCAGGGATTCATGATCTACCTTAGTACCTCTCTATCTCTTTTTTTTTTTTTTTTCATTGTTCATAATCAAACTACCTATCTATTCTTAGTCAAGTCTAATTAATTTACTCTTTGCGCGATATCTCTGACGGAATAGTCATAACGACTCCACTGTCATCTATTACCAAAGTCCTGCCTAGGACATAGATCGCGCAGAGGACAATGGGTTCATTGTGGCGGAGGAATGATGGCTCGGAGCGAGAGGGAGAGGAGCAAGGCCGTGATGGAGATGATAGAGCAAGAGAGCAGCATCAGGAAGCAGATGAACGGACACGACTACTGCCGAGACCAAACCATGGATATCTGAGTCCCGATGATCCTGCAGTAAGTTGCGGGTGTTGATGAGAACAAACCTGTGTTCGTGTTCACTAACATCCTTTTTACTATCAGGTATCACCCTACAATCTATGGAGTGTCAGGGCTCTCAGAGCCTTGTCCTCTTTCTGTCTCGCCATCAGTTTCGTCTGGTGGACGTTCCTGCTTGTCTCCATCTTCGTTAGCCCTCCAATGATGCACAGCCGTGGCTCTGGCTTTTTTAGCTTCGCGTATACCTCACTCACGATCGGCTACCTCATTATCGCGCTGCTATTCTTCTCAATCCCGTCAAAGGCCATGACGATATCTGGCATAGTGGTGGCCGTCTTCCTCTTCGTGGATATGTGCATCATCCTCGGCGTACCTCAGCTGCGCGTAGAAGAGGGCTGGGTCGGTATCGCCTCGGTTGTCTGGGCCACCGTGATATCCATTTTCAACGTCCTTCAAAACCGGGCTGTTGCCTGGGGCAAGAGGGAGGAAGAGGAGCGCCTTACTGGACGAGAGGAAACCCGGCGGTCCCTCCGGGAGTGGATCGCCGTGCTAGTCGAAACGATCTTCATGGTCGTAATCGCGATAGTTTCGATTCTCTTCACTGCAACCCTGATCATCCGCGCCCGGGACGCCTCCCTCCCCGCCCCGGGGCAAAAGTACCTCGTCAACGGAGAGAAGTACCAAGTGCACCTCGCCTGCGTCGGCTCCATCAACGGCACGGCCGACGGCAGCGGAAAGAAACCACCCACCGTCCTCCTCGAAGGCGGCGAAGACCCAGTTGAGCACTCCTTGCAACCGTTCATCGACGACGCCTACAAACAAGGCCTCATCAACCGCTACTGCTACTGGGACCGACCAGGATACGCCTGGTCCGACAATGCCCCCTCCCCACACTCCGCCGGCATGGCAGCCGATGCGCTCTCCGAAGCCCTCGCCCTCGCCGGCGAGGAAGGGCCCTGGGTCCTGGTCTCCTCCGGCATCGGCTCCATCTACAGCCGGATCTTCTCCAGCCGCCACCTTCTCGAAACGGAGGGCATCATGCTCATCGACGCCATGCACGAGGACTACCTCGGCCAAGTGGGCAACCCCGGCCGTGGCTTCCTGCTGTGGCTCCGCGGCATCCTCTCCCCGCTGGGCCTGGACCGCATCTTCGGCGCCATCTTCAAGGGTCGCACGCGCGAGGACCGCGTCTACGGCCGCAGTGCGTACCAGACGGGCAAGTTGGTCAAGGCCAAGTTGCAGGAGAACCTCGTCGCCGCGTCGATGACTACCTCGGAGGTCCAGACGGCGCGCCATGTCCAGATGCCCGATACGCCACTTGTCGTCGTAAGCTCAGGGATCGAGGTCCACAGGAGCGACAAGTGGGCCAAGACGCAGGAGGATCTGACGAAGATTACGAAGAACTTGAAGGACTGGGATATCGTCAAGGGTGCACCTCACGAGGTGTGGACGACCACTGAAGGTCGACAGGTTCTTGAAAAGAGACTCAAGGAATTGGTCAAGGGCGAGTGATGATACACGTTTTGGGACGATTTCTTTTCTCTATTTCAGGTTGTCTATCAGATTGTAATGTATCTAAATTGTCTTACGATTGTGATGTCCTCATGTTTGTCCTTCTATATGCGGTCAATTCTTCTTTGGATTTCTGTGGCTTCTCTTGGGGATCTCTCATTCCTTGCGGTTACTACGGAGTACCTAGGTTAGAATGAGAAAAGCAATTAATAAGGTAAATTGCCCTGTCTGATCATTCCGGTCTCACTCATAACTATAATCGAGTACATGCATAGGCGAGAACGGAAAAGCAGTCTCTTGAATCAGGACGATACAGCCATAAAACTATTACGAGTTGGTATACACTCATGGAGCTCTTCAACCCTAATATGCAAGTATGAGCCATCACCTTTGAAGTGCAGCGGAATCTGAATCTTCCTCTTCCAAATAAGAGTCGTCTTCATGACGGCTGGACAGATCCCGACAACCCATACCAGTAAGGAATCGTAGAATGATTGTGAAGACACAGACGAACATCAATGCAATGGTCACTAAGACCGGATGCCGCATACCAACGACGAATGGCTGGATGATGTCGAAGCATAAGGTCGGCACAGGGAGACGCAATTCGAAAAGACGTGTATATGCATCCATTGAAGTCTCGAAAGAAGGTACATCCTGCTCGGAATCCGCGACACGCTTCCGGTAGGCTGATAAAACGGCTTCAACATGCACCATGTATGACACTTGAACTAGCGACGAGCACCGCGGACTGTGCAGAGGCTGGTATAGGGTCAATGTTATCGGAGTAGAACTGCGAAGCTTCTGCCAGCGGGGAATCAATCTGGAGGGACGCGACAGCAAACCGGCTAAATGCTTCAGGAATGTGTTCTCTTTCGGTCTGCCAGGCGAGGCTCCATAATCGGTGCTGAGTGACCTCAAGAAAGCGATCCGGGACTCAGGGGAAAGTACAGCTCGAAGTAGTGGTAATCTATCACTGGTGGGTATTGGAGCTGGAAATGGCTTGTTTGGATCGCCTAATAGAACACGGTAGGCATTTTCAACACCGCGATGGGCGACCTTCCGCTGATCAGGAGGCTTATGTGGGCTTGAATCGATCCATGTCTCCTTTCTTTGCGCAGTCAAGGCATTTTTCTCTTCCGAAGGGAGATACTCCACAAAGCGGGAGTGTGGCCGGGGCAATCTTCGAGGCTGGGAAAGATCTGTGCGGTACGATGGCGTGGGGTGCTTGCGCTCCGGTGAGATTGTACTTGCTCGTGGTTGTACTTGGCCAGAAAGTCTGAAACTCTCTGCTGCAGCATCAGTGAGGAAAGGAGGCTTCGGCGGCTTTGGTGGTCTCCAAACACTCCCATCTTCATTGGTCAAGAGGCTGGCTCGGACGTTCTTTGAGCTGCAATCCGGGAGGGTGATCGAGGTGTTACTCTTATGTGATGAGAGCGCACTTTTTCTGTGTCTTTCGCGGTACAGCTGTGCAGACGAAAGGTGCTTTGCCTGTTCGCTTTCGGACGCCGGACTATTAGTTGGATTTGTGGGCAAGGGTACGTCAAAGATGAAGTGCGTATCAGGCTGCCGAATGGAGGGTACTTTTGGAGTAGTAGCTTTGGCGTTCGTGCTTCGGTCATTCCGAACTCCGTCGAGTTTAAGCACATGAGACAGATCTAATCTGGTTGGGTACTCGTCGAACAAACTGCAAATGTCGTCTTCCGATTCCGTGAGCCTGGTCTTGTTTGGAGATTTTGAAGGAGTGACCGGTGCATTCTCTTGCAGACGCTCCTCCAGCGCGAACTGCAATGTATGTGAAGGGCTGAACTGTAGCTGCGATGTTACTTGGTCCATTCTCAACTATTGTAGGTAATTGAAAATGGGCAACGGCAGGAAAAGATATCTGTGAAGCTTGTCAATTAGATATAAGGAATCGAAGGGGAGGCTGAAGAATAACAAGTTTGCGGGCCAAACTAGGAAGTTAGATAGGATGCGAATCCATTCTGGGAAGGCGTGATCCCGTCCCACACAACGATCATCTGAGGGTTAGGACTTCATAATTCATAGAGTATGGCACATGGTAGGGTAAGGTGCAAGTATCATTGAAAGAACCTTGCCGGAGAATTGTTATAATTCTACAAGTTCAGAATTGCAATCGCGAGTGGTTATGTACATCAGGTATCTATTTCAGGACGGCTTGCAGGGTCTCCAGAACCTGTGACAACGTTAGTGATTGAGTCTAGGTTCATGAATGCGTTTGTGGTTGACCTACCTCGAGCTCAATCTTAGCCTCAGCAATGTCCTGCTCGCTGCCACTACCATTGGCAATCTTCTGGACCTCGGCGATCTGGGACTTGACAGCCTGTAATTGAAAGATGACGGTCAAAAAAGTATATCAAGACATTTTGTTCGTTCCCACAACTTACATCGGCGCTGAAGTCCTCGAGGGGGTATGCCTCCACGGCGTTGATGCTCAGAGCGGAATCAGGCTGAACGACGGCGAAGCCACCAGAGACTGGAGAACGCAGACTTGTTAGTGCGATGCTAAAGGAGAGCAATGCGACATCTTCATGGTAACCGCGATATCGCAGCGCAAATCTTAGCGAGGTTGTCCGGACGTACGGAAGAACTTCTTGTTGGCACCACCCTCCTCAACGATCTCAACGAGACCGGGCTTGAGCTGCTCAATGGAGGGAACGTGGTTGGCGAGGACACCCATTTCTCCGGACTCGGCGGGGATGTTGACCTGGACACTGTAGGGGGAGGTCGTCAGTACGCATTCAAGTCATGATCAGAATCGTCGGTCGGTGAGAAGGGAGTTGGTCGTCACGTACACGCCGGCCGACTTGAAGATGGTCTATTTCAGGATAACTATGTCAGTTTCCAGCCTATATGAGGAGAAGGATACGTTCAGTTATTTCGGATCGTACCTGGTGAGGAAGGGCCAGAGAAAGCTTGATCTTGTCCGACACAGCCTCAGCGTAACCTCTGCGCTGGAGAGGCACGCGAAGAGCAGAGGGACGAGCCCTGAGAGCAGAGCGAGCGAAGCGAAGAGAGCTCATCTTGCAATGGATGGAAGGGAGAAGGTGGTGATGGTATCCCTCTTGAACCTGGGTCAAAGATGCAAAGGTCGAAGTCCGACTGCCGGTTGTTCCCTAGCGGCTCTTCGAATCACGTGACGGAAGTGGACAAATGTCAACGCCCAAGGGTTCAACACCAATGTTAGTACGTTGAACCAACGCGAGATTGTTTGTTTTATACAAGGTCTTGTGGAGATCGATTGGCGATGAAGAAATGTTTCTTCTATCGTGAAAGGTCAATGTCCTTCGTCTTTACTAGGACATAGATCGTCGCGCATGCGACTACATCGATTGCTACGCTCTCCTATCCATTTCGGACAGTACTGGCATGCTAAAGGCCATTGGCAGATACTCAAATGCAATATCAATAGCATATACTCTACTGATGAATGCATTGATTCCGGAATCGTACTCGGCAGTACGTTTCAACGTGAATGTTTCAAGCAGCACAATATGAAATCACGTGATATCAATTCACTGTGTGCTTGATCTTTGTAACTGATATCCCACGCTTATGCCAATGTATTTTCGCGCTCGCAATGGCTTGCTGAGCGCCCACGCTATTGTTGCCCCCTACCACCTTCCTGAAACAAGCAAGTGGTGTCCGGCATGACTATCACTTAGCCATCCTCCATGTTACGCGGTGTTGGCATGCGACTTAGTAATCAGGTCACGGGATCCCGACCACATTTGCTACCTGTTATGAGGCACTAGTCCTCCATCTTAAGATTGATAAGTTGCTTTCTACAAGTGGTCAAAATTGAAAGACATAGTCAAGTAGTCTCACATTAAGTAGAGGAACAATCCGATACCGACTGGCGGCAGGTGTTGTTGTGAACATAAAGTAGACATTTGGCGCTGCCGCAGTTGGCCGGACGGAATGGACCAATGACGCTAGCCGGTGGACCAGTAAGCGAAATCCCACACAAATCTTTCCCAGCGGAACCCTAGCCGGAATCTTTGGGGGGTCTCTAGCCTTCTGCTCAGTTCAAGGACATCTTCAATCCGCCAACTCATCGTCAACCCGTTTCTTGTTGCGACACATCCCATCAAGATGGCCAGTACGTTACCTGAAACCAGGCATTTTGGAATTTTCGAATCGATTTTATACCAGCACAATATCCCCGGAGTGTTCGGAAGTCGCTGACGGTTATTTTCACTTTGAACAGAGTCCAAGAACGCGTCTCAGCACCACCGCAGCCAGAAGGCTCACCGTAACGGGTTCGTACAATCCTCAGCAGTTTGAGATCGGAATGCTTTAGTTGGGAGGGAAGGATTGTTGCATTGATGGATTGACATCACCGAATCGGTCCTGAATGACTCGCGACCATCTTGCAACATATCCACCAACCACATTTTGAAGGAGAAAACAGGTCGCTGATATTTTCCGTTTGATTCCAACAGTATCAAGAAGCCTAAGACTCACCGTTACCCTTCCCTCAAGGGTGTTGACCCCAAGTTCCGCCGCAACCACAGACACGCCCTTCACGGCACCATGAAGGCTCTGGTACGTTGATCTCTGCTGCTGCTGCTGCTGAGTCGGAAGCAGCTGGGTCACGGAGGACATGGCTAACTATCCTACAGAAGGAGCGCAAGGAGGGCAAGCGGGAGGTCGCATAAATTGATCCATCGAAATTAAATGGGAAGCGATTTGAGTTGGTTTAACGTGCGATGACACAGAGCGTCGTGTCGGAAGAGCCTGGCTGGGTTTTCGCACGACGGCTTGTTAAATAACACAAAAATGGATTCGATTCCACGACTTGGCCATCATGAGTGCCTGCAGCATGGTCTTGTTTTTGCGATTGGGCATGCTTTCATGCCGACTTGATTTAGTTTGTCTTTTTTTTTTCTACTACACCGGGAACGATATTCGGTCATCCCGTCCGTTCAGGCATATGTGTGTACAGCTTCGTGTCTTTTCCATGCGCGTTTGCTGAAGGATTTTTCAACGTGCCGAGAAGAGATCCCATGCCCTCCTATTACCAAACACCCTTTCCCTTTCTCTCCCGTGGCGAGAGGGTGCATGGATGGAGGGCTACATACTCGTAAGCAAGATAGTTCTGAATATCAATATCATTCAATTCGTGTGAGCTCCATATGCTTCATTCAAAAGGACCTGCTTCAATACCTCATCGAGTGTAACAAGATCTGCACCCTCCAAACAATAAGCCTCTTATCAAACCCACCACTAACAAGCCACTCCTCTTTCACCACCTTGCCATCTCGCTGCACCTCAACCCAACCAGCCCAGATAGCCCGTACCTTCGATCCAACCTGATGCCCATCTTTCAACATCGCCGTCACCTTCCCCGTCATAGCCTCCACCCCCCGAATCACCCCATCATCCCCATTCACCCACACCCCCGACCCGTCAGGCCGCCAAACCACCTGCGGGGTGGAGTAGACCGTCTGCGGCGCAAACGTATTCGCCTGGATCATGATGGCCGCATCTTCGCGGTTCTGAAGCGCAAGCGCAGCAAAGGCCTGCGTGGCCTGCGTCTCTGGCTCCGCGGACGTACTGCCCGTGGACTCAGTGGGTTCCGACGGCTCCTGCTTCGGGAATAGCAGGCGCACTATGATGACTTTCATGTGCGGGAGGGTCGACGCCGCGACGGCTATGACGCCGGGATCGTGCGGGCTCAGAGCAAGGCATGAAGGAGAGAACGCCACCCAGGCGTTTGAGTGAGGGGCTAGGTTCTGCTTGCCGAGGAGCTTGCACTCGCTGGGCGTCTCTGTAGGCGTCGATGACGGGACGCCGTAGTAGAAGAGATAGGTTGAGTCGCGGCGCGAGGCGAGCAGGACGAGTTCCTGGGTATCTGGGTGGCGGACGAAGAGGACGGATTCTGGGTTGGTGAGCAGGTTGATGTGGGCGATGGGCTCGTTGAGCTCCAGGGAGTCTGGATCTCCTGCTCTGCTGGGGATACGGAGACAGTAGAGTAAGATCTTGGAGTCCCAGCCAGCGGTAGCGACCCATACGACGTTGGATGTAGTTTCGCCTGGCTCGTCTTCTTCGTATGCGATCACCTTGACTGCATACTTAGCATGGTCTTTACGGCGTGACAGAATCTCGGCACCCCTTTGTAGAAGAAGCTGGCCGGACATATTGGTCATAAGGACGTATTTGCCATTTTGGATAGGCGCGTATGAGAGCACCGGCGAGTCAGAGTGTCCAGCAAACGAAGTGACGACGTCGTTGCCTTCGGCTGTCTTGAAAAGGTGCACTTGTCTATCTGCGCCCGTCGCGACGATGTAACGTGACGGCTCATCTTGATTCTCCTTCTGGCTAGGATTCTGCCAGGGCTCTACCGAACACGCTAGGAGATTGGCAGAAGTTGGTGTTTGGATGACATTTGGTGTTGAGGGCGCTGGGTCGTGTCAGCAAACATAAATATCTCCGCAACGTCGAGGCTGGAAGTCAGAGAGGGAACGATTGTTAGCTGACCTGGAACCGTCCAGACGCCTTTCTCTTCACTTTGACGGTATCGCTCGAATTTTACGCTCTCATCGAATACTTGCTTCTCCTCAAGGACACCCTCGATGGTCCACTCGCTCTTGTCGGTCTTTCCATCCGGTTGCCCCGCGTTGGCTGGAAGTCCCGCTTCTCGGATGAATACATTCAGCGTCTCAGTATAATTATTCGAACGAAGGAAGCGGGCTACTAGAACACTAGCCAGTTGTGTTGTTGCCGCCATGTTGCCAATCTGATGTGTCCAGCGATTCGGAATGTTGACAGAGGAAACCGAACGACGTCAAATCACTGTGAGCGAGCTCCGTTCCTCGCTGATATCAGTACCCCATAGAAACAAGAAAATTAAGGATAAAATTCAACCGTTTCATTGCTTAGAACTCTTAGGTAATTATCATAATAATACAGATCGAATAGAATTTGAATAGTTTCAGAAGATTCGGATGAAATCAGCTATGCAATGGTATCAAGCCATCCCTAGATGTTTAGAGCAGAATGAAACGAAACAGTAGCAGAATCCAAATTTTAATGCTTCGTGCAGGCGATTGCCTTCCCTTAGCCGAACATGTCCTCTGCCCTCCTTCGAGGGCCGCCTCGCCCTTCAATCTTATCAGAGAATAACTCTTTACCGGCATTGGACTTGAATTTGGAAGGGAACAGCTCTCGGACAGATGCGCCTCGACCCTTGATTGACATGCCGTTGGCCGCACCTCGAATTGAGATACCCTGGTCCTGACCAGCTGCTCCACGAATGTTGACCCCGTTTTGCTCCGCCGAGTCTGGAAACAACTCAATGTTCTTACTGCGCGACGAGTTCTGGTCCCGAGCGCCATCCCCCCGGGGCGCAGAGATTCTCCTCGAGAACAGATCTGCTGTCTCATCAGCAGCATCGATCGCATCTGAACGGCGATGATTGCTTTGTTTGCTGGGCAGAAGTTCTTTCTTGAGGTAACTCGACGTTGGCTTGTTTGGAAAGAGCTCGCGGGCATTGGGATCGCTGTCGCTAGTACGAGAGGGGAAAAGCTCCTTGCCTTCGTTGCGACGGATAAGCTGGGGCGAGCGCTCCCGGAAGCGACTTCGTGTGCCGCGCTCCTCTTGCTCTAGACGACCACTCTCGGCCAGGGTGTCGCGACCTGGAGAGGCGCTCCGATTCCGAAGGCGGCCAGATAAACGTCCTTCGTCAGGGAATAGTTCCCGCTGGCCTCTCCGTGTTCGTCCGTTGCGACCTCTCTCTGTGTCTGAATAGTCGGAGCTAGCACGTGGGCCTTCATCGTCGTACATATTGGCGCTGAACTGTTCGTCTGCGTCACGGTCTCTTCGACGTCTAAGCTCCCGACCGTCGAACCGTCTTCGTTGATAGTCACCATCGCTCGAGGCTTCACCGCCTTGACGGCGTCTATCTGCGAGTTCTCGTCGCAGCTTCTCCCGGGGGTCGTGTTCAGGATGCATGAGATAGAATCGGCTGGCTTCGTATGCGCGGGGCCTTTTGCGATCGGTCTTCACTGCCAACCTCACTTGAAGCACAGATTCGGGGTGGGTCGACAACGCCTTGGCAGACCGTAAGCGCAAAGGAGGAAACGAAGATGTATCTTCCTCTTCGCTGCCCTGCGTGAAAGCTGCCAGAGCTTGCAGACCAACTTCGGGAGATGAGTAGATGATATTTGCGGAAGTATCGTCGATCCACTCGATGCGGGAAGGAGCCTCGCCGGAGAAGTAATCTGTCGCGAATTGTTTGATATTATCCGTAGTTAAATCATCAACACCTCGTATGTGAACTTTCTCATACTGTGCTTCAGCCGTTGTGGGATCGACCGAGCCGTCTTGACTTGTGACTATTGCGTTCGCGGGCTCCTAAGGTAGTTTGAGACATGTCAGTTATCACGAGAGAGCAAAGCAGACAAATTGCGGCCATTATTGCTCACCGTTTCAATTGGCTCCGGCTCTGGAAGCGGTCCGAGGTCAATATCCATGTCGATATCCATAGAGGCGTCCATCGCGATGGAAGTTGAGTGAGCACCGTTTGCCGGGTCAGGCTGTGTCATGCTGGCAACCTCCATGAGGGAGGAGACAAGGTACGTGGACAAAAGAAAATCGGTAGATCCAGAAAGGCGGATAGACTATGAGCGTAGAGACAATCAATTGAGGGGCCGTAAAAGACGTGGAGTTGATAAATATGTAGCGAACTGAATCAGCAGCGAGTCCGGCCAGTGATGAAGTTACTCTGAGCACTTCCGGATTACCAAACTGGGGAAGGTGTCAGGCGGAGTAGAACTCCAACTCCGCCACATATCACGCTGTCTTCTAACCAATCACGAATTGGCTGTACACTATGGTCATTGAGCGGGCTCAGTCTGCTCAAACAACATTAACGAACACCTCTACATGATTCTGGCAAGATAGGATCATTGAACTAACATTCTCTTTACGCTACCGTTCGATCATGGCTTGATCTCCTGAGATTGGATAGAGACTACCTATGTTTTTACAGTGAAGCTGGAATAAGCTGGCAATGGGCTTCAGGTGAATGATTGACATGCAGCAAAGTCTACTCACAAATCTTCAGTTTGACTTCAGTGAGCAACCAGATACAGACTGCCTTCGGCATTGGATTTGATGGCATATGTGAAATCGAATTCGCCTCACAACATGTTGTCCAGGGTCGTCAATGAAGATTCAGAAGAGAACTTGGGCCCCTTTAAGAACGCGTCAATGATTCAACATTTGCTGACAGCTAGAGCCCAGTCAAGTCTGCAGGCCTCATCTACAACTTTCCCTCTGGGCACAGATGTGAATTGCGCCAGCGTGTTGCCATTGCTTTTGGAGTTGTCGAGATGGTGTCTGACTCGAAGTACAGCCGCATCATTCCTAAATCATATTTCATGCTACACTAACAGAAGCAATATAGGCGAAATTCTTTGAGTTTACGAAGACGAACCCGCGACTTGGGCCTCAGGGCTATAGCAAGATAAACTTGCTTGTGCCCGTCATGACTTTCAGCCGGATTATCGTTTATAGGTACACATATGGCAAAACAAAGGAGAATCAGCCAAAGGGTTTCAGTCGGCTCGCCCAAGATCTGGAGCGTACTCTATCTGCAGTCAATGAGATCAAAACCTCGAATCAATCACCGGTAGCAATTACAGTCGATTCACTTGGTCTTCCATCGATCTGGCTTTTGTACGATCCGCTCCTTTCTGATATCCTGAAGAGAGAAATGCAACCGTAATGAATGGGGTAGGAGGAGTAGTGTAAATAAGACTTGAGCCTTGTTAAGCTCACACTTTGGTGTCATTGGCTGCCCTTCTGATAGATCCCAGATACTTGGTGTTTTGGCAAAAAACACCAATGTGGACCAGACAATTGAGAGCTGCATGACTTTCAACTTCCCCCGCTCGAACATCTTTTTCCCCTACTACCTCAATTAGGCTATTCTCCAACACCTTAAACCTTAGATTCAGGCTGATAGTCCCGATGGATGAATAATGTGAATGAACGGCGCCTTTCCGCTTCTCTGGTTCCAAAGAATTGATAGTTGGTTGTCAACTGGTCTCCCCCACCTCCACCTCCGCCTCCACAGGACTTTTGCCGAGGACATGAGCTATCAATTGCAGCCCATATATCGCGCCCGCAAGGCCCTCTTGCAGCACGAAAACGATGACAGGCTCGCCGACAACTGCGATGGAGATGAAGTGGACCTCGCGTTCCACATTACGGATGATGCAGTGGCACTCTGGACTTCTGACCGAAGACAGTGCAGTGACCAACTTTCTATATGAGTGAGCTGTACCCCGAAAATAAACGGGTTTCTTCTGGGTTCGCTCTTACTCTTAGCGTTACGGAGACAATAACGGACGTTATTATCGATCTGTGTTTACCCACCCACTTTGTCCATCATGCTTTACGCTGAAGACGATAAGCTCATCTACCGGTTTGATGACCACATTCTTTGGATCCAGCCATGGAGCGAGAATGCTTTTCGTATAAGAGCCACGAAGTTGGCGTCTATGCCCTCGGAAGATTGGGCGCTATCCGCAAAGCCGAGCACGCAGCAGGCGATCATTGAAACCCCCGCCGGCAAAGAGGCAAGCATTTCCAATGGCAAAATCAAGGCGGTTGTCTCCCAGCGAGGCAAGATCACAATCTACAACTCCAATGGTAAAAGGATCCTGGAAGAATATGCCCGTCATCGTCGTGATCCAATGGACCCAAAGTGCAGCGCCCTCGAGATTGAAGCGCGTGAGCTCCGACCAATTCTAGGAGGAGATTACCATCTCACGATGCGATTGGAGTCGCTAGACCCGAAGGAAAAGATCTACGGTATGGGCCAGTATCAGCAGCCGTATCTGAATCTCAAGGGAGCCGACTTGGAGTTGGGACATCGGAATTCCCAAGCTAGCGTTCCGTTTGCTCTCTCCTCTCTTGGCTATGGTCTTTTGTGGAACAACCCCGGGATCGGAAGAGCCGTCCTCGGAACAAATACCATGAGCTTTGAGGCATATTCGACGAAGGTCCTCGACTACTGGGTCGTTGCGGGTGATACGCCGGCGGAGATCGAAGAAGCATATTGTAAAGTGACGGGCTATGTCCCGATGATGCCAGAGTACGGTCTGGGATTCTGGCAGTGCAAACTCMGCTATTGGAACCAGGAGCAGTTGCTCAACGTCGCGCGAGAGCACAAGCGACGCAATGTTCCTTTGGATGTCATTGTAGTTGACTTCTTTCACTGGAAGCACCAAGGGGAGTGGAGTTTTGATCCCGAATTTTGGCCGGACCCAGGTGAGTCTACTCCGGCCGCATGATATGCATCGGTAGTTGCTGATAGGGCTGCGACCACAGAGGCAATGGTGAAAGAACTCAAAGAAATGAAGGTGGAGCTCATGGTCTCCATCTGGCCGACGGTCGAGAACCTATCCGAAAACTACCCGGAGATGCTCGAACGCGGTCTGCTGATCAGACATGACCGCGGCCTTCGAGTAGCTATGCAGTGTGACGGCGACGTCACGCATTTCGACGCGACGAACCCCGAGGCCCGCAAATATATCTGGGAAAAGGCGAAGAAAAACTACTACGACAAAGGGATCAAGATCTTCTGGCTTGATGAAGCCGAGCCTGAATACTCGATCTACGACTTTGACATTTACCGCTACCAGGCTGGCAGCAACCTCCAGATCGGCAACATCTTCCCCAGGGAATATGCGCGGGCCTTTTACGAAGGCATGGAGGCCGAGGGACAGAAGAACATTGTCAACCTGCTCCGGTGCGCCTGGGCTGGCAGCCAGAAGTACGGCGCTCTCGTCTGGAGCGGCGACATCGCGTCGTCGTGGGGTTCCTTCCGCAACCAGCTGGCCGCGGGCCTGAACATGGGCCTCGCAGGGATCCCGTGGTGGACGACGGACATCGGAGGCTTCCACGGGGGCAACCCCGCTGATCCCGCGTTCCGGGAACTCTTCACCCGGTGGTTCCAATGGGGTACGTTTTGTCCCGTGATGCGTCTGCACGGTGACCGGGAGCCCAAGCCTGAAGGCCAGCCGACTGCTCCTGGCGGTGACAATGAAATTTGGTCCTATGGCGAGGAGGTGTATGAGATCTGCAAGAATTACATCAACATCCGTGAGGAACTGCGGGACTACACGAGGAGCCTGATGAAAGAGGCGCATGAGAAGGGCACGCCGGTCATTCGGACTTTATTCTATGAGTTCCCCGAGGACAAGAAGGCCTGGGAGGTTGAGACGCAGTATCTGTTTGGGTCCAAGTATCTTGTTGCGCCAGTCCTTGAGGCCGGACAGCGAAAGATCACGGTGTATCTACCCGCAGGAGCTTCATGGACGCTAATGGGGGAGGAAACTGATCGTCCAGGAGGGCAGGATGTTGAGGTTGCATGTCCCATTGAGACGATGCCAGTTTTTGTCAGGGTGTAGGAAGTGGCATATACCAACCATTACCGCATCTGTCAGTATGCCACGGACTTCCCATCACTAGACTAAGAGTACGTAATATCATTTAGGGTTAATATAGGCTGATACTCACGGATTTGCATTTTCTGAGTTGGTGTAAGTTCTCACCTATCAGGCAGCCAGGACTATACCTCTCAGGTTTAAACTCTCAAATAAAAAGAACTAGAACTTAGAACACCCTGACCTAGTATAGTTTACTATAAGTTTCGCTATAAAAGTTAAGCCTCAGCATAGCTAAACTATTTCTAGATAAGTTATATTGTCTACTATAAGTAGGCTGGCCGTGAGGAAAGAGATGGGATATGAGCAGGAATTGCCACTACTACTTACTCTCCTATTTTACCTATAGTCATGGACATACACTCCTAATCCCTATATTAAGAACAGGAGCTGCTTGGAGACGTGGGTGGGGTGGATCGGTACAAGTAATCTGCTACAATTTCTGAAGTGGACGCTAGGTGTTCAACTAACAAGGAATGATCTTTATGGATAGGTTAAGTGGCCATGATCTCCATTGTAGAGCCCTGGGCCTATAATCCTCACTTCATACCCACAGTTATAAGTCCCTAAAAGCATGTCACCCTGATCTAGGCAAATGGCGCCTTTCACAATTAAAAGGCACATCTGATGCTCCATCCTAGGCAGTCCCCTGGAGCTGGAGCGTGTACTTGTCTAACTTGTCTCCAGGCTTGTTATACATTTGCAATTCCAGCGTCTGACCATCACTGCTCCAGGTACCTTCAAACCAGTAATATTGGTCCACGGAACTGCCTGGCTCGACCTTGGCCGAGAAGGTTCGATCCTGATGGTTCACAATAAGCTTTGGCTTGAGACCCTGATATGGGGCATTCTCAATTCCCTGAGCATTCTTTGTGAACGTTGCCATCACATAAAAAGGAGCGCCAGTGCGTAGGCCGGCAGGGAACACAGCCCAGATGTTTTCATCCTTGGCATAGTGTGCGTAGCTGAACTTGCCATGGTAGACGGCGGAGAAGGTGGTAGGCTCCCAACCATAAGTTGCTTCAATAGCTGTCATTCTGGCAGCTGTTACTGATTATTAGCCATGTTTTGGGGTTGTGTTAGTTATTTATTGAGGACGAGAGTGACTCACTCACAAAAGGTAGATTGTAGAAGAATATATGGAGAGGATTGTTCAAGCAACTAAGATCGATCTAATTCTGTTAACACAATGGACATGACATGAAGAGAAACGATCACTGATCAGGTGAATTTAGCTGGAAGGCTGAGGAGTGCACTGGGAAGAATCAAGTCTGGACTTGGAAAGACCATGTTATATACCTTTCCATTGTGCTGATCTCACCAGAATCGGAAGTTGCTTTGATATCATGGATTGGATAGAATACTATAGAGATGCATATGTGGGATGTGACCGAGGTGCTTGATGCTGCTATCATAGGAGACCTGGATTCGCCACACATGCAGGCATTGATTCTGGTCACTAAATAGAATCTCATAACTGATAATGTATCACAGTATCTTGCATCTCAAATAACCCAACATAGAGGCCATTGAGGCCGAGCCAATGGGATTAGAGAGTCCGCAGTATATTCATAACCAAATTACTCTTACATACCGGCACGCTAAGTAGAGGTAACACAGCATATACGGACAATTCTAATCAGGTTCCTGTGGCTGCATATGCAACGAGTCAGTTCAGTCCCTATTTAGTTTGTTTCCAGTTCATTGCGTACGTAGCTGGTTATACGCCTTTGCCCAAGAACAGTTACATGTCCAGAAGTAGGGAGCCATGCGTTCTTTAGCACTCGATTAGTGGAAGATGGCAAGAGTTTCATTCCACAAAGCCTAGTATATATACCAAAATTTACTATTCCTATATACTCCATTGAGAGCTTCTACCTACAGCAACTGTCACTCATCGAGCAAAGAGGGGCATTGAACTATCATTAGTTCAGCTCCTGTTTGCCCTTTGCAGCTTCCTTCTGCGCCACCTTGATTGCTAGAATCACATCGTCCGCTGCAGTGACAATCTGTTCCCTGTACTGGCGGACTGTATTCTTAGTATCAGTGAGATCCTGAATCGCCTCTTCGAGCTTGCGATACTTCTGCTCAGCAGCAATAGCGTCTATGATAGCTGTGACGATGAGACCGGCAGCAGCGCCCAGGAAGCCTCCCAAGACGGTCCCCCAGAAGGCATTAAGGGACTTGACGAGAATGGGGATCATCGTGCCGGCAACGACTGATGCAGCGGCGATACCGGCGGCATTGGCGGACATGCCCCAGACCTTAAACTCCGCGACAATCTTGTCGATGTCTTCAAACGAGCGACCCTTCCACTTCTCTATGACTGTGTCCAGCGGCTCTTTCTTGACTGACGCATCCAACTTCTCGTAGTGCAGCTTCGCGAGGCGCTCGATCTCGAGTAGCCTCTCACGAACATCAACAAGAAGCTTCTCCGGACTCTTCTCGTCAATGCTGACGGTCTCGACCTTCTCGCCTAGGAGGCCATTGAAGGTGGTGATGGTCTTGTTCGAGGCGTTGGTGATATATTTCAGGTCGGAAATAATATCAGTGATGAGGTTGCGTGCAGTGCGCTCACGCGCTTCATTGCCAGGACGGAAGATCTCTTCAAAGACTCCCATGATGGTAGTAGTGGTAGTATCAGTAGTAGTAATTGAGACTGATTGAGGAGTTAGTAAGGGTGAGTCTGCTCAAGCCAGGTCAAGACATATGAATAGAGAGGTGGAACTTGTCAATATCAAGACTCTAGCGGGGTATACAGAGTAAGCGCAAACAAATAATGAAAGAGGGAACCAAGGTTTGGGGGCGGGTAACCCCGGCGGCCCGAGGATAGTTCCCGCAGACACGTCTCGTTCGATTGCGCGATTTTCACACTTCATGCCAGCTGAAAGTCGCATGTCTAGTTCCGGATCCGGCGCGACTTGATAGATTACTAGCCTCATCATTGGATGGGTTCCACTGCTATCAGCCGATCTCAGATGCTAACACCGTGTGGCTGCGACCCCGCTCGCGTTTGGTCCAATATACTTACATCGCACACGTAAGGATCGGCATACTATGCAAGATACAGCACAGGTGGAGGTGTTCATCTCTTTCTCCTGAAGGTCTTGGCAGTGGTGTGACATTGCATTAGTCGCGGGCACAGACCATGATTCCCCTCGTCAGAGTGGGCCTTTTTGCTCCACTATCGAATCCCTCTGCGCCATACCTCAGTAATAACTGCTCACAGCGAGGAGGCAACCGAGTGACCCGACAGTGTGCGGGCATAGCTCGGACGATCTGTTCGTATTGCAAGCTTGGATGACCAATTGTGCTGGAATCTGAGCCATAAGACTGAGTTCTGACTCGACCAGCCCACCACAATCGCCTTTTCTCTCTCCCTGAGAATTCATTTCCCTCTCATACACAGAGCACCGCATATCCACACAACCAGCCAACATATTCCTCTAGTCTTATCATGGGTGTATTTGAACAAATTTTCCGTCCCGGAAACGAGGGTCGCCAGAAGCAGGTGAACGACCTTATTACCGACATAATCTCGGACCTCAAATACATTGCCAATGCGTCCAATGGCATCATCGACTCATTCAACAAAATGCTCGGCTCGTCTGTCGCGCATGTTGCCTACAATTCAAAGGACCCCAAACAACTCATCCGGGATGTGAGCGACAGGTACGAGGAGATCGAGAAGCTGGCACGGGCCAAATACGACGATCTCGACGCGGTCGACAAGCCAACCCTCGACGAAGTGATTAGAAAATGGGAGGGCAAGATGTCGCCGGATGATGTGGACCAACTGATGGGTAGTCTGAAGAACAAAGGGTTTGCTTCTGAGGCTGCGTCCATTGCAGCCAGTCTTGCTGTCTTTGTAGTTGTCACGCCCCTTTTGAAGATCGCGTTCAGAGCTTTCGTCGCTAACATCACGGGGGTCGTCCTTGGAGCGCTTGCGGGGCTTGCTGTTGCTGCTATTGTTGATGCCATTGCGGCGGAGCAGAACTATCATAAGCTTGAGGAGGCAATAGCGGACTTAACGACGACGAAGACGCTGTTGGCCGAGTATAGGGACAAAGTAGTCAATTCTGCTGATGACCTGAAGCTCTCCGTAGCTTTGGCTCAGAGGTTTGCAAAGAAGAATCGCAATTGATCGTGGGTAAGCGTTTCATGCGTCTGAGTCTCTGCGAATCGTCCACTGATCTGTTCCTCTACAGATGGATGAGAGGTCTACATGCACACAGCAACGGGAGGAATGACCAGCAGACTGTTATGCTTGGATGTACAGAGTAATTCTTTTGCAGAGACAGGCGAAAACGCCACATTAGGCAATAATATGCCAATCTTAACGATTGTGGCCCCTGCACAGAGTATACAACGTAATGAAAGCTGAAATATAGAGTTGTATATGATACGATAATCCACAGTGCTGCTGATAATCAGTAACTAGAATATGTCCCGCGGTCTTGTTTCTTTCAGCCCAATCTTTCGTATACCCTAATCGGTTCTTAGCATAGCAACCTGTGGAAACTGACAAATCAATTGTTATTGGCGTGTCCAAAGGAGGGGTATGCTGCTTGGTCGATCCGTCAGTCGTTTAGGTTAATAGAGGTCCTTTTCCCCAAATTGTCCAAGGTTAATTAAGACTGCGTGTCCTCCTCATCCCCTCGCACTGCACTCCACTATAGCACGAACACACCACACCAACACACCACCACACCACCACACCATCATGGGCAACATCGAGTCCATCATCAGGCCAGACAACCCCAAGCGCGAGCAGAAGGTCAGAGACCTTGTTCTTGACATCAGCTCAGACMTCCAGTTCATATGCACCAAATCCAATGATATCATTACCACCATGAACCAGCTCCTCACCTCGAACTTCGCCCACGTCGTCTACGACAAGAATAACCCGAAGCAGCTCCTCGAAGACATCCGCGACCGGTTTACCCAAATTGAGACCTTGGCGCGCCATAAATATGAGAAGTTGGATGCCGGGGTAAACAAGGTTCCCCTTGAGGAGGTTATCAAGAAATGGGAAGGCAGAAGTCCAGGGGAGATTGGAGACATGGTGGATCATTTTAAAGATTACGGATACACTGCTGAGGTAGCAGCCATTGCTGCCAGTCTTGCCATCTTTGTTGTTCTAGGCCCTATCTTGACCACCATGTTTGGGTTCATGGGCACGATTGCGGCTGGGGTGATTTCCATAATTGGAGGTGCCGTCGGGTATATTGTCGTCGAGATCGTTGCAGCGGAGGAAAAGTATCACAAGCTCGAGGAAGCCATTAGAGAGTTGACGAAGACGAAACAGTTGCTTAGCGGAAATAGGGAGAAGATCGCCAATGCTGCTGATGATTTGAAGTTGGCAATCCGTTTGGCGCAGGTAAAGAGAGCATAAAGTCGCTCAGCGGGACTCCTAGTGGGAGAAAACGGAAACCGGAACGTGGGGCATCTTTATCAAACAGCTGAGTTTGGGACTGCTGGTGGACAATGACGGCTTCTGGCAGCAAGGGCATTGAATACCACTAGTCTTGCAGATTACTCATCACCAGAATGAAAAATACTTGTTACTTTATTTTGTCTAAGTATATCTTCTTAGAGGCTGCTGGACCTATCAACACTGACACCGATGGGACAAAGGGTGATAAGGCACTAAAACACAATTTGATGTTTGTACTCCAATCATGCTTACTGGGTTGTTGTCGCCGTTGGACTCCGGCCACTGAAGCGGCCAGGCAAAGCCTGGGGTGAGTGAGGCAATTACCGCGGCCAGACTGGCTACAGTTGTGATAAAGCAACCTGTTGATCGAACTGTTATCGAGCATGCAGCTGCCGTCAGAGCGTAGAGTCGAGTCTTTAGTGAATGACGGAAAGAGTCTCCTTTGGTTCTAGCTTGGCAGGAGCCGTCGGTGCATCCTAATCATCGTCTGCGCATCTTGGATTATTGACTTGATCTTCCTGCTGGGGACTCAGTGTCGGCCCAGGTCTGATTCTGAGTTCAGTACACTTCGACATCCCCACCCTGGAGTTATTCCGGTCCGAGGTCAATGACGAGAAATAAGAAATGGGAAGTGTGTGAGAGATCGACCTTTGAGGAGTAGACCATATGTCACTCCTCTTCCTGTCTATTCCGCTCGTGTCGTAGAGGATTCAACTCCACAAAAAGGCCCCCGGAGGATGGCATAGATATGGTATAGATGGTATATCAGTCAGCGTATTATACTGCCATCTTAACGTATATAATCCGCAGATTTCTAGATGACTGTCTGGCCAGTCATTATGAGTGGCCAACGTAGGTGCTCTTGCCACTCCGGAGGTAGGACCCCCTGAATCCCTTTGATCTCATTTTCAGGAATATCCAGTGCCCACCAAAGTTCTTTCGCCCTACACATGAAAGCAAAGTAATGAGCAAGAATAACCAATGCTCGGGGTCTCTGATCCTCAACAAAATCAAGGAATTCTCTTGGAGCAAAAATGGAGAACGAGATAAGCTTTCGACCAAATATCCAAACCGGGTCATTGTCCTGAACCGACTTGTGGAGGTATCCCAAGTAGGCGACAGAATTCTCGTAAGCTTCGTGAGTATCTGGATTCCATGGCTGAATGTCAGGATCCAGTAAGCTTTGAAACGGGATTTGATTTTCTTTGGCGAAGATCACTTTCGGATCGAGCGCTGGTGGGGCATTGATGAACAACCACATCTTCGCATCCTTGTTCCCTTTAAGCATCTCTACTGCTGTCCGCAGCACAGCCCCTACACCATTTCCTAATCTTAGAGACTCGACCGGCGGCACGTATGGTTTGATAGGACGTCTCCAGAGGCGGGCAACTGCCGCGATGAGGAGTATCATGGCGGTATAGCAGACCGAATCGCAATTTTCAAGACTCAGTTCAGCAACGGCTTTTTGCTGTTCACGCATTGCTAGCGCCAAATAGACTTGTTGAATGTTGAGTAGCTCACGGTTGTCTGGATCAGAACGGAGCATATGACAGGCTGCCATGGAAAACATCATGTAGTGCACGTTCTCATATTCCAGCCCAAGTTGAGGAATTAGACTAGACCATGCCGTCACCTCGCGGGATTTGGCCTGGCCTGGGAGGGGATCCATCAGGTGATCCTTGTAGTAATCGAATAGTCGAAGCTCGAGAAGGCGTCTAGATTTGGATTCTGGCAGCTGGAAGTCACCGACGTCGTTGAAGTCGGAGCTAGGGGTTCCCTGTAACTCTGATTCGCCCGACAGAGTGGGTATTAGGGTATTGGCTGGACCAAATATATCTGACCCCTGTTTGCCGTCTGTTTTTGTGTCTTGGTCATTTCGTTTTTTTGCGGCATTCGGGTATATACAAGCTACTTCATGGCGCTCACAATTCCCACATGTAGGGTGTATCTCATCACACTAGGCAGAGGCATGTAAGTATGCTGTTCTCGCGGTGTTCATGCCGTCGAAGGCACAGGCGAATTCTTACTTTCACCCGACGAGTTCTACATCTCTGGCACCCATTTCGGGACTTCCTGTGATAAGCTTTGGTCATACGCCGGCGCGCCTGCACCTTATCGGTGCCCTCGACGGCATTATTCATAATTAATGACGCAAGGAGGTGACTGTGCAGTAGCGCGGATTCGGTGGGCCCGTTTCGGTCGGATGTAGGCAAGAAGAATACAGAAAAGAGGAAAAACAGTGATATCCATGCCCCGCCATAAATGATAGACAAGCTTTGAGGCTGAGTCGAGATGACCTGGTTGATTGCGCGGCTGCGCCTGAGACCAGCACTAACATATCCACGTGACCCAGAAAGGAAATAAAACAACAGCAAATTAAACCCTAAATCACATGACCAATACTGATGAAGTATAAAACAGTGGTTTGCTGGCATTGGGCATTATTCCAGTGGTCGTTTACTTTTGAATTTGATGTAACAGACGGAGGGAATAGAACGCCTCCCAATTAGCCTGCTAACTCGTGGCATGTGTCCTGCTCCATGAATGCTGTGGCCTCTGTCATATCCTTTTCGCTCGGCATGTTGATAATGAGAAGATAGAGAACATGCTTATTGAGTGTCAGTAATTTGAAAATAAAGAGACTGGTAGAAGGGAACTTACATGACGAAGGATACGCTTCACGCCGTTGACTATCAAATCTGCTCCTCCAAATCCAACCTGAGGACCTCCCATCATCCCTTGGTTGCCAACCTGCATAGGAGTCATCTGGCTTCTGAATTGCTGATTCATGCCTGTCTGGGTTGAATATTGCCGGTCCTCGCCCCATTGGCTCGGATTCTTCTGAGTTGTTATTTGTTGCTCCATCATCATGCGACCTATGCCTCCGTTAGACATTGCAATGAGTCGACTCAAAGGGAATCTCGTACCACCCCTACCCATGCCACGGACATAAGGCATGCCCCCAAATCCACGGCCACCCATAGTGCCTCCGACGCCACCCCCGAAACCACGCCCAAAACCTGCGGGCATGCTCACCTTTCCGGCCGTGAGAAGGGCAAGGATGTCACCGCTATTTGTAGGATTATTAGGGTCCGAGTAGCGAGATGTGAAAGTAGGCTGGGGTCCAACGACCAGTTGACTATCCGGATTTTTTGCAGCCTAGAAATAAGATGAGTAGGTGTAATGTTGATTTTGGTAGTGCCACTTACATATTTGGCCTGAGCACGTCGATCAAAATACTCGCCAGAAAAATTCTTCGCACTCTTAATTTTCTCCTTCGTCGTTTTGGCTGCCTTGCTATGATCATCTTCCAATTTGTCGAGGGCGGGGAAAACGAGAGGAGCGGTTTCTGTAAATGCAACGCCATTGGTGTTACCCATCGACGGCTTATACTGGTATACAACCTTCGAAATTCCTTCAGGCGGAGTCAGGTTCTTGCTGATTGTCTCGTTGAGGTTGATTCCAACGTTGGTAGCATCGGTCTCGGGGTTCCATGTCAACACCATAGCGTAGAGGCCTCTCGGTTGGAAAAACTGTTCGTTCATTTGGTCCATGACTGTGTGGTATCTGTGAGAGGAGACAATTAGTAAAAGTACAGCGATTCGGAGGAGGGCCACATGCCTCTTTCGGCTTTGCATGTTCTTCATAACTTGCACGGTAAGATAAAGCGCGACAGTGGCTGCCTGTCCGATGCCAGGAGCGAGATGTAATGGCATCAAGGCGATACCAGCCATGTTGATAGCATTGATCCATGGTGAAGCTTGAGTGGCGAGATTGAAAGTTTCGAGGAAATCGAGGAACATGGCTTGGTCGATTCCAGCATTCATCAGCTCTGGCGCATAAGCTCTGATGAAACCGCGAGTACGGTCCTTGGGTCTGCGCTGGGGCAGGACAACGGGGAGAGTCAACTTGCCACGTCGCTCTATACCCTGTGGAACGGGGTAATCGTCGATGAAGTATTGTGTGATTTTCTTGGGATCAAGGGTCTGTGGGCGTTTCTTGGGGTTCGCGGGTTCGCGCTCAATGAGCTCGTCCTGTGCATCATCCAGTTCCCATTGTTCCTCATCACCCTCCTCTAGCTCCCCCCCTACTTGCGCAAAAGTCCTGTTCTCGCTCAAATGTGCTCGTTGCTTCGCAGCCATAACGTGTTCCTTTTCTGTATCGTCACTATAGGGTGGAAGCGGGCTGGATCCTTCTAGTTCGCTGGGTGGAGGCTGCGACTGTGATCGGCGAGCTTGATCGGCGGCTGCCTTCTTTTTTGCATTCTTCTTCTCTTTGTGTGCATGAATGCTTTCTGATGCGAGCCCGATACCAGCTGCAACACCTTTGGCGACGAGGCCAATTAGTCCAAGGGGTCCACCAGGGTTTCCAACGCCAGTCTGCCCGCCGCCTTGTTGATTGGATTGATGGACTTGTTGATTGTTGAACATGACGGCAAAAGCGAATATAATTGTTGTTGTTCTTTCTTTTATTTATGAAGAAAACAACAGTGATGGACTGTTTGTTGGAGAGAGGAGGCTGTAAAGTTACAGTGATGTGATATGAACTCCTTTATAGAAATAAAAAAAATAAGCAATCAAATTAGAACTGGGGTTCTAACTAAGCTTTATGATAATCAGCGAGGCTGTGTGCCCCTTGAAACAGCATCATTATTCCTGTTAGCTCGGTTTCTTTAGTTAGTTTCGTCGTTCCTCGTTCCTTCGTTCCCTCGTTCCCTCGTTCCCGTTGCTCTTCCCGTGCTTCCCCGTTCCCTGTCGGTTTCGCCCCTAATACTTCAAAATAAATCTGATGCTGACTGCGCCATGATCTCCACAAATATCCATAATTAATGCTGACAATGACATCGCCTCAGTCTTAACACAGCCGTGAATCATACCAAAGCGGTTGCAGAGGATCATCATGGCTCATACGCAGATCTACTGTCAGCCGCAACATTAAGGGCATTGAGAAGCCTTAAATAGCGAAGTCATTCCCAACAACTGATTGAGAATATGTCTACTCTTAAATCTATCGCTTCATTCATCATCTCATGAATCGAGCGGCTTTAAGTGCGAATAATGAAAGTTACTGCACTGTTCAGTTCTATTGCCTTGGGCCTCTTGCCCTGTAAGTCCTGTGGAGATGTCAATTGACGACCGTTCTTGCTTGATACAAGCGAGACTAACGTTTCATTCTTTAGACACAACCGCCAGTCCAGCCTCGGCAGAGCACCGCGAGGTTTCGCGAGCTGTGAGTGTCAAGCCTCGCGCGCTGGCAAATGCGACCAATGGTTATGCCCCAGTTCATGTTACCTGCCCGGCAACCCGGCCTAGGATCCGAAGCGCTTCGACACTCTCCTCCGAAGAAACATCTTGGCTGGATGTTCGTCGCGGCAAGACCGTGCCAGCCCTGAAAGAATTCTTCGGGCATGTCGAGATCGACAACTTTGACGCCTCCAGCTACATCGAAAGCCACTCCAGTAACTCATCCAACCTCCTTAATATTGGTATCGCCATATCAGGAGGTGGCTTTCGTGCAATGTTGAATGGTGCTGGTGTTCTCAAGGCCTTCGATAGCCGCACCGAAGGTGCAACTGCCAAGGGCCAGCTGGGTGGTCTGCTGCAGTCTGCCACTTAGGTTTCAGGGCTGAGTGGAGGCTCTTGGCTGGTCGGTTCGGTCTTTTTCAACAACTTTTCGCCAGTGTCCGCCTTGCAAGAAGAGTTCTGGGACTTTTCCTCGAAGTTCATTCTTTTAGGTCCGGCCACCATGAACCCCGCGCAGTTTTGGGGTAATATCACGACTCAAGTCAAAGCGAAGGAGGAGGCTGGTTTTGTGACTACTAGCGCCGATATTTGGTAGGTTCACTGGCCTTTTTGGTGATAGAATGAAGAAGAATCTTGACTAAGTTTTGTAGGGGTCGGATAGAAGGTTACACTTTCTTCAATGCTAGCCATGGTGGAGTTGACCTCACCTGGTCCTCTCTTGCAAAGTCCCGGGCCTTCCAAGACGGCGACATGCCACTGCCCCTGGTCGTTGCTGATGGCCAGTATTTTAACAAATTTGAGGACAGTCCCACCCCGAAAGAACCGATCTACGAATTCTCTCCTTGGGAGTTCGGCACATATGATAACTCGATCTATGGATTCGCGCCACTGCAGTATCTGGGCTCTCGATTCGTGAATGGTGTGGTGCCAGCAAACGAGACCTGTGTGCGTGGCTACGACAACGCCGGTTTGATCATGGGAACATCCAGCGACGTATATGATCTGGATGGTGTGGACATCGCTGCCCAGCTGCGCAAGCTTATCCCCGAAATTTCCTCTCAAAACGCCGCTCTTGGAGACGTGCTTTCAAATGCTGTGGAAGAATACCTCGGCGCCCTCAGCTCGACAAACTCTACAGTGAATGGGCCTGCAGCCTACGACCCCAGTCCCTTCTACCAGTACAACAAGGACTCATCACCATTTGCGCAGGGCACGAGACTGACGGTAGTTGACGGAGGTGAGGATGGCCAAAATATCCCGCTCAACCCGCTTATTCAGAGAAAGCGCAATGTGGATATTATCTTTGCGGTTGATTCCGGCTCTGACGTCGCCGCGAATTGGCCGAATGGCACGACAATGATCGCCACCTACGAGCGTACCTTGGCCGGTTTCGCCAACGATACATCCTTCCCTTCAATTCCAGACGCAAACACGTTTGTCAACCTAGGTCTTAATAGCCATCCGACCTTCTTTGGCTGCAACAGTTCCAACCTGACGGCGCCAGCACCCCTGATCGTGTACTTGCCCAATCACCCCGTCACCTACATGTCGAACCTCGCCTTGAATGAGAGTAGTTTCAACACCACCAGGCGCGACTCCATCATCCTGAATGGCTACAATATTGCCACCCAGGCTAATGGCACTCTGGACTCCGACTGGTCCACATGCGTAGGCTGTGCGATTCTCAGCCGCTCCTTCGACAGAACCGATACCACTGTTCCGAAGGCTTGCAGTCAGTGCTTCCAACGTTACTGCTGGAATGGAACGATAGATGATCGGACCCCATCATCGCCCTATGCGCCGTCGGTCACTTTGTCTTCTTGGACGCCTGGATCCACTTCCACATCTACATCTGCAGCTGCTCATGGCATGAGTACCTCACTTGTTCCTGCTGGCTGGTCTGCCGTGGCAATTGTTGCCATGGTCCTTTCCAAGCTCATCTAATCCGATTTGGAAATGAGTGGTGTCCCTGCCTAAGGCTTTGGCTTGGGGGCGAAGCTGATTGTTTTCTCAAGTTATATAGGGTTAGTGACTAGCGTGGGTGCAGTTTAGGGGGGTTGTAATGTCTGGAGAATACATCAGCAGTAGCAGTAACTAGTTAATTCCATTAGACCAGCTAATAGAAATGGAAGTCCCACCATAATGGGCTTAGTATTATTTCATATAAAAAATAAACGCGCTATTACAACCTCTAGAACATAGATTAATAACAATCTAGCAAAGCAATTTCTAGTTCGGAAACGCAGTGTCTTAGTCGACCACCCAACCACAACCTTATATGACATGCTTACTACCCTCCAATGCGTCATTCTGATCTCCACCTAGACCTGTTTCCCCTATATTTCATGAATCTTCTCTCCTGATTTAATATAACGATTTAACGCTATACGACCTCTGCTAGTCCTAACTAGCAGTAACCTAGAGGGGCTTGCGAGCTGTGAGAGCTGTTATGTAAGCTGCGTGGTCTTATTGACTAGATCAACACATTGCTTTTCTATGCCCCCATTAATGACGTCCATAGCCTAGAAGGTTTCACCGTTTCTCATGTTGTTTACTCAAGCCAGTAGTAGTATGTGTTTGTATTAAAGATCATGCAATGCTAATCTTCAATTCATTGTTGCTCAAGTAGCAGGGAGATGGTCCTGTGTATTAGATAGTGGCACCAAAGGTGTACTGTCGATCAGGTTTACTGATGAGGTGATGGAAGCAAGCAGTTGTGTGGACTGCAGACTAGTTCTTGCATCTGAGCTGCGGATATCGTTCCAAAGCGCTCTCCAGAATTGCCTCAATCAGTTCTTGATGGCTGATCCCTTGAGCCTCTGTTGTCTTGGGGAGGGTGGACCATCTCGGCCGCAAACCAGGAATAGCATTTATCTGCGCTGGTGAGCAGAGGACTGTACACACCATAGGACACTTACCTCAAGAACATATGGACTGCCATCTAGACCCCATCTAATATCAACCCTGCCAATATCCTGACACTCGAGAGCCTGCCACGCCTGTAGTGCAAGCGCCTCGGCTTGCTGAGCTTTAGGATTGTCCTTGCTACTCACAACACGGGTGGGGTAATCATCTCCAACGTCGGGGCCCCCGTCCGCGGTATTGTAGCACCTATCGGCAGGTCTCACTGATTTCCAGTCCAGGTGTACTGTTCCAAGAATGCGGGCCGACTTTCCGCTCCCGATGATACTTACAGTGTATTCTTCTCCTCCTAGGAAACTCTCAATGATGACACTCTGATCGGGATATTTGGTTTGTAGTCTTCGGACCCCGTCTTCCAGTTCGGCGAGATTATGGGCCTTGCTGAAGGAGTAGATGCCTTTCGATGATCCTTCGCAATTCGGCTTGATGAAGAGGGGGAATCTTTTCAACAAGTCTGAATGAGGAGTCTTGTTCAGGATTTCTGAGCTAATGGACTGGCCGTCATGGTCCGTCCTCACCGCAGGGACAATGACGAATGGTGCCGTTGGAATTCCCATATGCTCCAGAATCATCTATAGTAGTCAGCCAGCCCTCTCAATGCCAAGAGAATGTCAAAGCACCTTTGTCCTCCCCTTATCATGCGAAAGCGACAACGTCGCTGCATCAGAGAAAACATGTGGAATCTGATACGCCTCCAAAAGCGCAGAGACCTGTGCTTCGCGGCCGGCACCGTACATGCCCTCGGCCGTGGGGAAGGCCAAATCCCAGGTTTTATGTTTCCCTTCTGCGAGGATGGGTACAAGCTGCTGTATGCCGGCAACAGGTACGACCGTGTGGCCGCATGCCCGCAATGACTCAACCATACTGACGATCGTGTCGTCTGTATCGAATTCCATGCATTCTTCCACACTGAAGCCAAGGGATCGGTACTGGGAGAAGCTATCGTATATGAAGGCTATTACGAGGGGGCGTTTTGGGGACATTTTGAGAATTGTTATAGGATGGTCGAAGAAGCAGGTAGTGTATGATGATAATATTTAATGAATTGGATTTATAGCGAGAGGAAGTGATTCCGTCGCAATTGAAAAGACACAGCGGCGTCGGAATCCGGCTGCTGCTCAGTCTTATTTGTCCCAGGAAAGAATGCTTTTTCTATTGACGCATATATGCAGTCATGTAGCGCCATTGCCAGTGTTCTTTTAAGCCAGCGATGTCGCTTGCTGCATGCGGCCAATCCCTTTAGCCTTGGAGCTCGACCGCCGAGCACTAAGCGCTGAATTCCGGCTTCGAGCTGTTAGCCGATCAGCGAGTGCAGGTCAGAAGTACCGGGTCGGGCAAGGAATGTGAACAATGAGCTCTGTACAGGGGGAAAACCCATATGTCATAACTGGGGAACCTTGTGACGGCGAGGTATACCGAGATACAGAGTGTACTATATATCGCAAACTAGCTATAATTTCATGATTACTCAACTGCTAATCAATTTCGTTGACCTCAGCGTCCTCCCTGGATAATATGCATCCGCTGGCAGAAAAGCACATTAGCCTTCATATGCATTAGATAGCTAGCTAACAGGTCTACTCGGGCGAACATCTGACCAAGTACTGCAGAGACTGGCGACCAAAGGGAGTAAGGTAGGCTAAAAGCGAAGTTTCTACTGCCACGTAGCTTGAAATGACGATCCAGGTCTGATACTGTCAATTGCGCCATCCAGTCTCCCATTGCGACAACACTGGTAGGTGCGCATCTACCTTAGCTGTCCTTGATTTACGTAAAAGGTTGCCGCTGAGGGATGTGGCTGCAGGTCGCAGGAAAATGTGTTGGTGTCTGCAACATATTACAGGATGCTGCAAGGGGGTTTGCTCTAGTGTCTGTTGATTGGATAGTGTAATTGATCGGTATGAAGTTCCTTTCAGCTGAATTCGGTCCTCCACTGTCGATCTGCGGGATGGTCGTCAAATCATACCGCACTCCTGCGTCATGTCTACAGCGAAACGAACCCTTTTATTATGAATAACAAAGGAAAATACTACATACACCATAGCTTTCTTCAATCCATGAATGGTCTAAGCCATGTTTCAGCTGATATGCGAGGTTTACTTGCTTACGGGCAGCGATTATGTTCTGGACTACTGGCTAAAATTCCAAGGCATCCAAGGGAGACAAAGTTGCGGTCCGCTGGGCGGCCCAGCACATGTGGGCCGAATTCCACGTTGTACAGGATATTGTCTGAGGTTCAGCACTTGTGGTCGACGCCTTCGATCTTAGCCGGGTGTAAGGCAAGGAAAACCTTGTAAGCGAAACTCCCTGCTAAAAGCAACATAAGCTTCCTGAGGAGTCAATGAAGTCCGGAAGCGGGCATGCTCCTCCATGTACAATCCGCTAGGACGCTTGAATAGCTGACTGTGTGTGGCACATCCCTGACCAAAGGCAACCAAAAATGGGTTGCCTTGCGTCACGCATCCTAGCACATTCTTGACCGAATGCGATCAAAGAGGGATGATCCTACATCACAAACCCCCGGCGATCTCGAAACGTTACAGGCAGTGGAAGGCAAATGAATTATCTTTTAAATCTGCCACAGCTCGAGTACTGGCGCTTGCTCCCGTCCGATGATACCTTTCATCGAAGATACTCACAATGTCTCTCGGTCTCTACCGTCTGTGGATGCGCTCAAAATGCCTTCCAATCTCTACACGAGCCATAGTGCAGCGCAGAATCACCACGGCACCAACCCTAGGGGCAGAGCCCGTAGTGGCTGAAAAGCAGGTCTTCACTCCGCCGCCAATAACCTATTCCGTTGAAAGAGAAGATCCCTATTGGAAGAAGATCCCTAGGTGGGAAGATGTTACGGCAGATCAGTTCCTGAGTCACAAGTGGCAGGTAGGTCGTGACCGCCGGATCATGCTGGCAAAGCATATTAACGATATAGATGGGAAACACCGTTCAAAGCACAGCTGGCCTGGTAGAGTTTCTCTCATCAGTCTTGCCAGCGACAATTCCCCCGCAGAGAGACATGGAAAGCTGGCTTCGAATTACAGATATACATACTCGGGAAGACTTCATTGAACGGGTCCTCGAGGGGATCAAGAAGGCCCCCATGGCCATTCGTTTGTCCCCACACATTCTCAGCGTGGTTAACTGGTCTGATCCATTGAACGACCCGGTCAGACGGCAATTTGTGCCAGTTTCATCCCCACTGAGTATCGACCACCCGATGGCGGTGTTGGACCCGATGCATGAAGACAAGTACTCGCCTGTGGATGGGTTGATCCACCGATATCCGGACCGGGCCCTTTTTTTTGGTTCGTGCTTGGACGTATCCAGTGATTACTGTACTAACATTGTACAGCGACATCTATTTGCCCCGTGTACTGCCGCTTCTGCTTCCGCTCCTACACCGTGGGCACAGAAACGGAATCCGTCAAGAAGAAGCGCTTCCTCCCTCTGCCGAAGAAATGGGCCCCCCGATTCGAATACATTGAGAAAACCCCGTCTCTTAAAGACATCGTCATCTCGGGCGGAGACACGTACCTCCTTGAACCGTCGCAGCTGCATTACATCGGCGACCGACTCCTGAACATCCCCCACATCCGTCGATTCCGCTTTGCCAGTAAGGGACTTGGCGTGTCCCCTAGTCGACTTATCGACCCAAATGATGACTGGACAGATACTGTTATTGAGCTCGATCGCCGAGCCCGTAGAGAAGGCAAGCATATCTGTATCCACACGCATATTAATCACCCCAATGAGATCACCTGGGTGACCAGGCGTGGTGCGCAGCGTCTGTACGAGGCTGGGGTCACTGTGCGGAATCAATCTGTGCTCCTGAATGGGGTGAACAATACTCTTGAGACCATGACCGAGCTTGTTCATGCTCTGGGAGATATTAACATTCAGCCAGTAAGTTGGCTTCATTAAAAATGTACTCAAAAGCTCTTACTGAGATGTCTGCAGTACTACGTCTACCAAGGGGATATCGTCCCTGGGGCAGAGGATCTCCGCACCCCGCTGAGCCATGGTCTACATCTGGAGCGGCACATTCGCGGACGTATTGCGGGATTTCTTGTCCCGAATTTCATTCTCGACCTACCAGCTGAGGGTGGAAAGCGATTGATTCGATCTGTTGAGAGCTATGACCGGCGCATTGGGCTGGCTACATTTTCTGCACCAGGCCTGAAGGGGGAGCCTACGGAGATGCAGTATTGGGATCCATTGTGGTCGCTTTCCCAGGACGCCAGAGAAGAGGTCTTAGAGAAGTATGGTAGGAAGTAGTGTGCTGCAACAATTCTTGTGGATTTCGACGCCATGTCAGTATAGCAAAGTGGTTGATAGGCATGGGAATCATGGTAGGCCGAGTGTAGATGACACCATCAGTCAAAACCTGACTAGACTTAGACCTTCAACCACATCGTAGCAATTTTAAAGTTTATATTAGTATAAAATAGCGAGATCAGTCGTGAAGCTGAAGTTGAGGTGAGACTTAATGACTGACTTACCTACAAATGCTGATGGGAGGAAGGATGGAAGCAAGGAAGCTCATCATCGGCACGATGAGACAGAATTGGAGAAAATACGGTGTTCAGAGGGAGGGAGAGCCAAATATGGCTACCATCCGGCATCCAGATTAGGCACTGTCTCTTCGATCTCTCAGGTCTCTCGTTCCCTCAGGGCCGCGAGACGAAGTAAGTTCGGACTCGATCAACCCCGCGCCGGCGGAAGGGCTAGCGGGTACCTGGTGTCCCTGCCCGTCCACTAGAATGGAATAATGCAGCTGCATTATCGCCTATATACAAATTACGTGGCACCTCTCCTCGACCGAGATATGGCACCACCTTCCAGCAAGTCACCTACTCATAGAAGGATATACGCCAGGACCTAGCAGTCTTGGACCTCCATAGCGAGTCATGCAAGACATGCCGCGAGAAGGTCGCCTAGAGCTGTCACTTGCACATGCGCTCGACATATCTCGCCTGGTACTCTTAGTTACCTAAATCCTTAGTACGGGTTGGCTGACCTGGAGTCACAAAAAGAAAATATAAGATGGTGTCAGCCTTTCCCCGCGCGCTCCATCCACGGCTTGACAAGCAGCGCTCTATTTGAATTTATCGACTATAAAATTCTTTTGAAGGATGGATATTAGCTCATCCCAATCATCGTCCTTGATCTGGCAGGGTCTCGTCAGGGCAACGACCGAGTTCAATCTCTGTCCGAACCGCGTGTGGGCAGTAGCCCGCAGCCTCCCACAGCGAGAAAAGAACATCCCTCTCCTCATCCCCGCATCAGACGCTGATCTTAAACACCGCATCCCCCATCACCAGGGCCATGAGCAGTGCACATTCGACTTTTGCGAATTTTCCCGGCGCGATTTCACAGGCGTGCAGCAGCGCCATGAGACACCAGGCTGCAAATGCGTGCCTCTGCGCGGCCTCTTCCTCCCGGATGAACTTGAGCAAGCCGCAAAGGCGGGCAAGGTCACGGCGTGGGCGTTGGATGGGAAGTCGATTATCAGGCCTCCTCGGCCGTTCATGGCGATATCACATGTCTGGGCTGATGGGACTGGGGCCGGCGCTTGGGGCCCCGGGCAGGTGAACCGGTGCCTCCATAGCTTCTTTCGGCGCATTGCAGAGCAGTTCCAGTGTGAAGGGATTTGGTGGGATACGGTCTGCATTCCGCGATCAAAGGCCGCTCGCACCATTGCGATAAATCGGATGCAGCAGAATTATGAGGATGCTCGCGTCACTCTCGTCCATGATTGTTTCCTGCGGGAGTGGCAATGGGTCGATGATGATGACGATAGCAAGAATGCGAGACTTGCTTGCTTTGCGATTATCATGTCTCCCTGGTTTAGCCGGGGGTGGACGGCTCTGGAACTGGCCAGGTCGCGTCGAGTGAAAGTGATATTCAAAGGCGCTTATGGCCCAGCCATCAAAGACCTTGACGACGATATTCTGGCAAAGGTGCCCGATGATATCGTAGCACGGCCGGTAGCGAATCTCAGGGCCACCAGAATTAGTGCCGTTGACGACCTCTTGACCGTGCTCGGCTCTCGATATACGTCGTGGCCTCGAGATATAGCGACCATAGCCGGGCTTTTAGTCGGCATTGACATACCCCACGATACAACACAGCAAGACATCTATCAGCGCATCTTGAAGAGGGTTGGGAAGGTCTCCCCCGAACATCTCTTCCACAATTCCGCGACAATGTCTAAAGGTGGATTTACTTGGTGTCCTACAAGTTTGGTCGACCTCGCACCGTCTTCAGGACAGACCTCTCTGAGAGTTACAGAGGATGGGGCAGTCGTGGGCCAGTGGAGGGTACTTGGTCGCCCAGACTGGATTTCCAGCGAGAGATATAACTGGAAGGGCACACATCCTCTGGCAGAAGTCCGCCTGCAAGCTGCGCTCCAGCAACCTGAGACGCATTGCCTTCTAGCTGAGGTTGATTGTGAGGTTATTAGCAGGGCCGTTCTCGTGGAGGTCGTCAATAAGACCAAGGATTCAGAGTGCGAGTGTGGACGATTCATCGGCTCCGTCTACTTTCATCCCCCTCTACAAAGACAAGAAATTAGTCATGCTGACAAGGCCCTGACTCCAAAAGAGGTAGTAATCGGTGTTGCTGACGACAATGCAGAATTAAAGACCGTTAGAACACGTTCCGCCTCTGACGTACCAATTCATCTTTCATCAAATTCGGACCTAGGTGAGCAGTTGATCTCGTCCGCTGCATCTGGTGACGCCTTGGAGGTAGAACGACTACTAGGCACTGAAGTCGACCCTAATTTCACGGACAAAACTACCACCTGGACCGCGCTGCACTATGCGACATGGGGAAACCACGAGGAGGTCGTCCGGAATCTCGTCGAAAAATCTGACCCGAACTTGGGGGACCGGCTGGGTCAGAAGGCAATCCACCTTGCAGCGGAGCGTGGCAACGAAAGGATACCCAGGCAGCTACTTGAGCAAGGCGTGGAAGTAAACTCCCGGTGCTCCGACGAGCAGACGGTGCTCCATCGAGCAGCGTTTGTGGGATCGGAACCCGTCGTTGAATTGCTGCTCCAAACGCCAGGCATCAAAATCGACGCCCAGGACTCCTTGAAGCGGACAGCTCTCCACCTGGCCGCACAATATGGGCACAAGGGGGCAGTGAAGAAGCTCCTCAGTAGTGATAGAGTCGATTTGTCGCTTCCGGAATCCACAGGGAAGACACCTCTGCATCTGGCGGCAGAATACGGGAATGAAGCTATTGTGGAGCTGCTCATGCCCAGGACTGATTGCGATCAACAAGACGCAGTAGGGCAAACGGCGCTGCATCTAGGAGCCGCACGAGGATACGCGACGATTGTGCGGCTTTTGCTAGACACATCCACCCCCAACCTCCAAGACGTCATGGGCCGGACGGCACTGCATCTAGCAATACTCGAGAAGAAGAACGAGACAGCGGTCTTGCTGGCAGCGTTTGACCTCAATTGTGCAGATCTGGTTGGCAAGACTGCGTTTCACCTGGCAGCAGCATGGGTGCAAGGATGTCGTTGATATCCTCACCAAAAAGCTTGATCCAGACCTCCCTGATATTACTGGACGAACGGCGCTGCATATGGCTTCAGAAAACGGACATGTTCCAAATGTCAAGTCACCGCTCCCAAAGGCTACCCTGGGCTTGCAGGATTCAGCGGGACAGACGGCGTTGCACTTGGCAATTCAAAACGAGCACGAAGACATAGCAAGGCTTCTCTTAGGTTCTACGGCAGATATCCCAGACGACTTTGGGAAAACTGCGTTGCACCTTGCATCAGAGAAGGGATACATCTCGATCGTCGAGCTCCTTATGGAAAGAGGCGGCGATCCCAACGCCGAGGATTCGCAGGGGTTGACAGCACTGGATATGGCAAAGAAGGGGGGCCACGGCCATGTAGCAGCTCTTCTTGAAAATGGTTGCGCAAGGGAATCAATGGCATCGCCCTCCGGACCATTAAAGCGGGGATATGCTTCAATTATCCAACGGGTGCTTGAGACAGTCAATCCAGACATTCGGCACTCGAACTCAGAGACAGCACTGCAATTGTCAGTGCAAAATCGCATCCGGGATGTAACCATGCTGTTATTGGAGAGTTGGAAGGGGCTTCCGGTCTATCATCGGCCTTCGCTGCGGCCAACTGTGGCCCGAGAAGAATCCGAGGCTGTGATAGAGCTGCTCCTGGAGAAAGACGCGGATATTGGGGCGAAGAATAACGTCGGATTTACCGTATTAGATTATGCGGCGCTGGGGGGACACGAGGCGGTCGTAAGGCTCCTAATCGAGAAAGGGGAGAAGCTGGGGAAGCCAACTTTGCATTTCGCCGTGCTTGGAGGGAATGAAGCGGTGGTGGAGCTGATCCTGCAGAATGGCGCAGATATATCAGCAAGTTATTCTTTTTTCTACAAAGAGGTTCTCTCTCGGACTGGCCTGAAAGAAAAGGAACACTACGATTTACAAGAAGATCATGGGTTTAACCCCGCTCTGAAATTCGCCGCGTTCACAGGGAACGGCCCCATGATACGACTATTCAAACAGTACGGCGTGGAAGACGGCACGGGGGTACTGGAGTGGGCACGATTGACCACCAACAAATCAACACTTCAGCACGTCCTCGAAACCTGGGCTAATCAACTGGATGATTGGGATATTAAGAAATCGATGTGTGCTGCGGCAGAGAGATGCAGTGAGTCGACGATGCGGATGCTCATAGAGAACGGAGGCGACCCATTGCTCGAAGTGTCTGGAGCGAATCTGCTTCACTACGCGGCGCGTGGGGGCAAGGAGGCGGTTGTGCGGCTTTTGATGGAGAAGGGAGCTGATATCTGGGCTCGGGACGAAGACGGCGGCACCGTGTTACATGCGGCAGTCGTGGGAGGGAATGAGGAAGTAGTTCGGCTTCTCATCGAAAGAGGGTTGGATATATCTGCCGAAGCAAAACCGTGGAGCCTTTTCTGCGGCGACATGGGTGGTACCGTGCTTGATCTTGCTCTATGCAAGGGGAGTGCGAGTCTAGTACGCCTATTTATCGACATGGGAATGGATGTGTTCCAGCGAGGTACAATAGGAACTCTCTTTATTGCCACGGGAGACAAGCCACGGTTACAATTTCTCTTGGAGAAAGTGCCAGACGTCTACGCGAAAAATGATCATGGAGTGAGTGTGGCGCATTTTGCAGCCATCGCGGGAAACGAGACAATCATTCCGCGCCTGCTAGAACAGGGAATAGACATCTCGACACAGATTGGAGAAGGGGAGACAGTCCTATCCTATGCGCTTCGAGAAGGCAATAATACAGTAGCATGGTTGCTMATTGCAAAGAATATAGGAATCCTGGCAAAGACAGATGAGGGAGTTACGCCACTACATCTTGCTGCCCAGAAAGGGAACAGAGGGATGGTACAATTACTTCTAAGGAAGGGCGTTGATATAGCTTCCACTACAAAGGAGGGACTTACCGTACTTCATTACGCAGCTGAGGGCGGAAACGAGGCAGTGATCCAACTACTGATTGAGGAGAGCGCTGGACTAGATCTCCCCTCGGCCAAGTCGAGTGATGGAGTGACCCCATTGCACCTTGCAGCCAAAACAGGCAATAAGGGAGCGGTACGTTTGCTCATCGAAAAAGGGGCAGACGTATTCTCGATGTCGGATAATGGAATGACAGTGCTTCACTACGCAGCCGAAGCGGAGTGTCCAACTGTGCTTCAAATGTTTGCGGAAAATTGGGAGCATTATTTCAGCGAGCATGACAAGGCATGGAAGGATGTAGGAGTACTGGAAGCGTGATACCGAACTAATTAATAACAGTTGTGTCAGCGCCAGTTCTGCCCTCAGTAACGGAATAGAGCGTTAGGAAGGGAATTTAATAACTAGTGTATAAAGTTATAGTAGTTCAGGCTATTAGATTATATAGTTACTAGCTAGATATGCTACTAGGAGTATATAATATGTTTATATTAGCCTATTATATCCTATAGTAAGTAAACCCTTTCTAAGCTAGTGAAGTAGTAACTACTAGCTGCCTTCTATACCAGTGTTAGAGGCTTGCGATAAACCGTTTGCAGCCCAGCCCAAGGTTCTCACAAGCATTATACGTCAGCTGACTCTGCAGACATCAAGGGGTGGACAGCCCACCCCACCTATGTTTCTTTATTTGATTTCGTTGCCCCTCCATTGATTTAGCTCCTGTTGACTTAGGATAATTTATGTACCTTGTGCTAATAAGTCGAGAAATCAGTTGGCAGAGGAAGTGGTGAGGAATTTAATTGTCCAAGTACGTCAACAACGCCCAGTGCCGTTCTGCACACAGCGGGGTCTGCTCAGGCTTCAGCGGACTGGCCCCTTGGACGCTGGCTGCCCAAATCTAGTCTACTTGGTTGTTTTTGAGAGCAAGACACAAAATTATTCCTCATTACAAGATATCTCATACCGTAACGGTTGACGCTCGGCATACCACTACCTCTGCACCGTCATGGCCAGTATTGATAGAGTGGCGATTATCGGCGCCGGGCTTTCAGGTCTAACTCTTGCTCTGGCCCTGCACAAGCAATCCATTGCCTGCACTCTCTATGAGGCTCGCGCGTCCGCACTCGACATTGGCGGCGCCATTATGATGTGTCCCAACGGTCTGAGAATCCTCGACTATCTGGGTGTGTATAAGCGAATCCAGCCAGAAGGCTATGAGTTTGACAAGCTCTACTTCCGCTCCCCGGACGACCAGCCCATGGACACATATGAGTTTGGTGGGATTGAACAATACGGCTACCACGCCATGCGTATTTACCGTCGCATTCTTATCCGGGAACTATCTGCTCTGGTTCGCGAGGCTAGCATCCCCATTGAGTACCATAAGAAATTCGTCCGGGTGCTTGCAGAGACAGAGAAGGATGTTACCTGGGAATTTAGTGACGGCTCCACAGCAACAGCAACCTGCGTTGTGGGCGCTGATGGCATCCACTCCAAAGTCCGCAAGTACCTCTATCCAGACCTTGAGCCAGCCTTTACGAAGATGGTCATTGTGGCGGCCGCAGTACCAACAAGCCAGCTACAGTTCCCAACCGGCTACAACCTCCCAGTGACGATAATGAACAAACAACATGGGGCAGTCTTCATCGCTCCGCAGTTGGGAGATGGCTCTGAGGTGATGGTCGGCCGGCAGAAGCGCTCGGAGCAGCTGACCCGAGAGGAGTGGGACGGGCTTCTGAATAATAAGGAATGGTGCATGGATTTCCTCCGCCAGGGTGCGGACGACTTTCCTGAGATCGTCCAGCGGGCTGTATCAAATATAGCACAGGAGAGGATCTTTCTATGGCCGCTCTCTATTGTTCCTAAGCTTGAAACATGGGCATCAAAACACTGCCGCGTGGTAATTGTGGGTGATGCCGCGCATGCGATTCCCCCGGCTGCTGGTCAGGGTGTTAATCAGGCGTTTGAGGATGTTTTTACGTATTCGTTGGTGCTTGCACGGTCTGACAAGGATTCACTTGAGCGGTCACTGAAGGTTTGGCAGGAAAGACGACAAGAGCGGGTAGATAAGGTGCTTGCACTAAACGCGTATATGGATAGACGGAGGATGCCAAGTTTGGGGGAAGAAAAGGAAGCAGAGGACGCGCCCCTCGACTTGGAGTCATTGTATAAGCCGGATTTCGTGGAAATGGTGGACGCGTGGCTCTCCAGGCATGCCTCCCACTGATAATGATGTTCCAAAAGGATTCCGAATCATATAGCGTCGACAGATACTCAATACGCATTGAATTATATCCTACATTACCTAGTATCAACAGTCCCGGACCATGGGTGATATAATTCAGAGAGGTGGTGATGGCTACAAAATACATTACTCCAGTGGGTCTTGCCCACATTAGAATGCACTTAACAAGGGCATAATAACACAAGTACAGTAGCTTTGGCAATTGTTGGTGAAAATACTTTTACGATGGAGTTGTGTCATGGTGAGCTTGACAGGATGAGGACTTAAATCCGAATAGTCACGAAAGAAAAGATCTAGCCGACACTGTATGATAAATTACGAAGCCGATTGGCTATCATGGGAAAGAAATGCACTCAATCATTCTGCTGGCTCTGGATGAATGCTACTAATCCCAGTTCCACTCGTCCCCACGCATCCCAATCCACCAAATTCTGAAAGAGATATGGCTTTGCCAAAGAGAATACCATTCATCCTGCAGGTGCTGCCAGCCAGGCCCTGGTCCTTCCGGTCCACAAATATCTGTAAAGCATTCCACATACCCGAGCACCTCTCCAACCCTCCCCGTACTCGTTTTTATAAACGAACTCTTCAGCCAGACATTCGAGCCCTCGAAAGATGTTGTTGTATCGCAATCCCACCGAAACTGGCCGAGCGACTCGATGCCACCATCCTCATACTCAAGCAGCAACCCCCACACGCGCGGTGGTTCGGGTTCCCGGGACCTGCTCGCTGTTATGCGAACAATCCCTTGGGCCCGCGCGCGTGTCAACTGCCAGGAGTCCCAGATGTCCAGATCCGTATTCATTGGGTAACCGCGAGGGGGTTCGTAATCTGGCTGTTTGATCTCCAGATTCATATCCTGTGCGCTGCGCTCATGGGAGCGAGAAGGGTCGCATGTGACACCGATTACAGTCACCCATGGCTGTTGGTCCCGTGTGTTGTCCCAAATGCCTGTGATGAGGCCATCATGCTGTTTGACAAGAGGCCTGAATTGGCTTCCGTGGTAGAGATTATTCCAGTGTGATCCGAAGAGTGTTTTGCGACCGCGGGTTGTTTCAAGCTATGCATAAAGATAAGTCAGCCCAAGGAAGAGTGGGATACGGATGAGATGTGCATCATACACCAAGGTTTATGGCTTTGGCCTCTTCAGGTCGCCATGCTCTAACGCGCACCCAGGCGTTACTGAATGCCTCACCAGGAGCCAAGGGAAAATATTGCCAGTAATGAGGGATGCCCTCGACACGGGTCTTCACCAGCGAGACAAAGGTCTCAAACTCTGCCGTCAGCCCTTGAAACACGTGTATACCATACGTGTAGCAGTCACCGGCGCAGACGACAAGGCCAAGGACATTCGTGTTAATTTTGCTGAGATGCAATTTAGGCTCATGAGTGCTATAGATCCAAGCGTCAAATCCATTGTCCTCCAATTCATCGCTCCAGCATAATGGTTCCGGTACATCGACACAGAGATGTGTTTCGCCTCGCCCCGCGAGAGTGTTAATAGACCGGGATATTTCAGATCCCCTTTCCTGATGTGCTAGATCTGGTGACGAGTCTCCCCCAACACTACCAGGTACGACATTGGCAGGCTTACTAGTAGCCATCTTTGTAACGGGAAGCTTGCGAAAAGAATGAAAATCAAGCACTCAGGAAGCTGATTTTCAACGCTACAGAACTCTCCTGTGGCCCAACTGCGTCAACGACCTACTATATGCCGATGGCTGTCCAGGCAGAAACTTCTTCGTATTCTTTGTGGCTAGCGTCAGTTTTGAAGACGGAGGTCCCTCCTTGCTCATTCTCTGTTCGGCTATTAGACTTCGTATTGGACCTCCACGAGATGTGCCCCTTGACCTTTGTCCTAAATTGTTTCATACTTTTAAGACTGATTTAACGACGAATCTTGGGTTCAATGTTATCATAGCCTTGATCCAGCTAGCCATTCTATGAGGATCCTAGTCATTGGAATAAAGCTGAAAAACCTAGTAATAGTACGATAGGCAGCTTATCCTGTGTTAATGAGATAGGTGTGGATATCCCTTATGACAATTCCTACGGGTACAACACAACGCTGCCGATTCTGCAGTTTTGTTTGTCAACGGGACGACACGGTCGTGATGTTTTCTTTCGGTGACTGAGAGTTGAGGAAACCGGTTCGATGAACTAGATTTTCCACTCCAATTGGACAGCTGAGCCCTTTCTACAAGATACGTCTTGGCGTTTCTATTCTTCAAGGTAAAATAAATCATGTTCTAGAGGTTGTCATACAAGAGAAAAGACAGGGCTCGTGTTCTTGCCTCTTTAAACCGGCAGCTATGCTTGTCTCCCGACCTGCTTCAGCACTAGCAAAAATGTGACTCCTTCTGTCTCTCGTCGCTGTCGCACTGCGATAATTTTTACTCCCATCTCTTTCAACTGATCCCAGAGTCCTTGCAGCGCATCCAGCATGGCCGGAAAGAATTTGGCTACTACTTTTACTCATGTCATTAAGCTAGACGAACATGATAACTCAGAGGTCAAACGATCCGTTCTGGACCGCACTGAGGCGAAATATAACCGGATTCTGAACATTTTCGACCTGTTAGTATAGCCTCCTCTTTCCCTGAGCATTGTCAGGTATTTACCATCCCTCTACAGGTTCCTCAAACTGCATCCTAGGGCATCCCCCTTGCCCGACATCAAATCCTTCAAAGGATTCATGGAGTTCATGGCTAAGAATCTGAAGGGTCAGATCGAGGAAAATGCAACAGTTGGGACTGTTGACAGTTACCACCGAGAATTTGTAACTGCACTGTCACGGTAAGGCCACGTAATACCAGAGAACGTCTCCACGACAATCAGAGAGGTAATTTAGGCACCTCAGTTCACATATCATGTGCTCATTGTTGTCTACTGGATCAAGAAAGATCTTAAGGAAAAGATACCGCTCTGCGAGGATGAGATGGACAAAGGGGCCTTGTCACCAAATGATCTGACCATCCTCAAGACACAACTATGGTGCAGGGATTTTAAAGCATATCGAGGTAAATATCCAGATCGGACAAGGGTGGAAATTAGTGCGGCCATACTTCTATACTGCTTTACTTCCGCTCGGACTGGAGAGGTACACGAGTCCACAGCTCGTCGAGAGCGTGCTCGTAAACAGAGAGACATGGAGGGTGTTAAAACTGTTCAGGTAATGGCAGCATGTTACCGGGTGAGTAGGAAATGGTTAATTATCTTATCATCTATGCTGATTGGAGGTTATAGCACTTTCTCCTCACCATTGAGTGGGTTGATGGTGTATGAATGCTTGTTCTCACCTCTTCAGGAAATTATGTTAAGGGATACTGGGGGGAAAAGAAATGGGAACTGCCCATACACGGTTTCTATGAGACATATAAGGAGAAATGTCCACTCTACTTTAACCTCCTTACCTTTTTCCTACCGTTGCATCCGCGGATCGAGCTTTCCGTGACTACCAATCAATGGACGAGATCCTTGACTCCGTTGAAGTGGGGACTTGCAATGAGCCGGAGGAAAAGGAAATTATCACCATCTTTTTCAAGAAAGACGTGTTGGACGCCCCTATATTCCGTCCCTGGGATGAACAAGCAATTGAGGATAGAACGGGTCGGGCCCGAGGTGCGGATGCTTTCGGAAAAGAATTGTTGTTAAACATTATTAGTAGGCCAAATAAATAAAGACACAGCCGTCCTGAACTTCAAGTGACCCTCACTTGACGCCAAACTTGAGCTTTCTGAGTACTCTTACGCCAGCAACAATGGCCGCACTCGTCCAGGTCAATTCAATGCGGACAGTCGGCACAAAGGATGACAATCAGAGCCTATGCAACTTTCTTCGAAATGTGAGACTCACTCCCCTTTCCGCAGCTAGTTCATGGCTAACGGAAGTAGCTCACCAGTTTTATTATCTACCGCAAGGACCGCCTACCCGACGATGTTCAACTTGTATTATCAGAGACGTTTGAAAAGGGTCGCAAATTTCCCAGTCCCCGATAAACCAAATCTCGTGCTTCTGGAGCTCGAGCTCGTATCTCAGTAGTCAAAGACATTCTCCCCTCGCCTCAACTGCTCTCGGCTATCTCAACATTTGAGAGATCGCCAATAGATTTTTGGACCGCTGGACTACAAATAGAAGTGGGTTGGGATAATGAAAATGTGTTGCGCCGTGTTTATCAGCGAAACAGGCGGAATGATATGGTAAATGTGATATATAGGGCATTCGATACGACCGCGACCTATTTGCCTGTTGAGAAGATATGTGATGCTTTTAACGCGGACATTCTTTCCCCCGCTGTTTTGAAATATTGCGTTAAAATGATCATGAACCAGGGTGGCAACAAGGAAGAAAGAGACATGGTGAAAGGAACCCTCAAACAGGATTTTCAAGCTGGGAAGCGCTGGCACACTTACGCGACAGAATTGGGCGGTTATGGTGCCTTTTTTCTAATTGGAGTGTTTCCTTCATGGATGTAAGTGTTATGGCTGCAGATGCTAGCTCTGTACTGACTGAGAAAGTAAACAGAATTCAATGCAAACCGGAAATAAACACGACTAGTAAATGAATGTAATCCGCGCTGTCCTCTCTTGCATTTTGATAGCTAAAACCTCCACCCGATCTTTTCCAGTTGTGGAACAGTCATTGTCGGATCGTATGGGAAACGAAGACTTTGCGGTCTCAGCGCCAAACCATAGACGCCGAAGTATTGGGTACTCCAAGGAGTAGGGCTTTTGGTGACGTACTTGTCACCGAAAGGCTCGAATTGGGTGTTGATCGTCCTGTATGAGAGATGAGTTAGTGATGATCCTAAACGATCGTAGAAAGCAGCAAATATACAAGGTGTTGGTACTTGAATCCTAGTAGATGTCTCGTAACGTTGCCAAGCCACATAGGACCCCCTTTGCAGTGATGTCGCTGTTTGAAGGAATTAGTCTTGGCTTCAGTGAATTAGTGCGGACATACTTGTAGGCAGCCTCAAATTGAGTTCTAATCTCATCTTGGGTGGGTCTATCCAGGTTCTTCCAAAACTCCCCGTCTGGAACGAGGAACGTGAGTTGGTTTTCATATTCGTACCGGGAGCCCTCTATAGCAAGTGGAATTCCAGGAACGGCTGTGGTGAGCAAATAGACGCTCCAGCCGCGTGGAACAAGTCTGTCCTCCTCTTGGACATCCACTTTATGCTCCAGAAGATTAGGTGTGAACTTGCAGTCACGAAGGCGCCGAAGAGCCTTGATATATTCCTCCAAGTCTTCTGGGACGTTGGCAGATGCTTAAGTGCCGCGAACACTTAAGGGGCGGAACTCTGTGCCGCTGTAAGGGACTTGGATATGGATCTTCATAAGGGCCTCCTGGGCAGGGTTCTTGAGATTCTGGCATTTAAAGGTTGCACCAGCACTCGGGGTAGTTTCGTATTCATCGGCGTCTTTCTTGGAAAGACGGTAGGAGTGTTCTGTTAGTTTTTCCCTTAGTATCCACGAGGAACCAGCGTCCTGAAAGTCAATGCGCTTCCCAACCCATATACTTTTGGGGAAATACTTGAGTTCCATGATAGCGCGAGGATTCGCGAAAACGACGTGAGCGGGGACAAGGGATGATGATGGATGTGAGGTGGATGGATGATGGGGGGAGGAAGACTGTGTGAGAGGGAAGAATGACGGTTGATGTTGTATGGAAGGAAGATGAATCACGAACCACGGATCTTCTGTTCTTTGTGGAAGGGATCTGCCTCAGGCAGCAAGATATATACTTCTGTCAGAACCAGCATAATCAGCCTACGAACCCTTGCAACGCTAGCGAAGGAGGGGCGGCTAGCGTTAGTCGCAGGGACGGTACAGATAATGTACCCCGTGGAATCAACTCAGGCTCTAGTGTTCAGATCACTCACTGCCAGCCGGAGACATTTAACAGAACTAGTTCGTCTCACCGGTCTCTTTCCCATGCTAAAGCTAATGGTTTGGTGCAGGCGACGGATCCGATGATCGAATCAGTCAGGGGGTTGCTGGCATAGACAATTCCTTCAGAATAGTCAAACTTCACAACAGAACTTCAGTGCACCCAGTAATCATACCTTGTTATGGGATCAAGATTTCCTTAATACTGAAGCACTATTATCTGGTGCAACTGAAGGACATGCTCCGTACTGGGATCAGGACTTTGTTTTCTTCAGGCAAACAGATAACTACCACACAACACAAGCCAGGTTGTCTTACTGGGACGATAATTTGAATTGAATTGATAACTACGCGTCAGCCGCGCCGCAAGAGAGCAGATAGAGCTGAACTAGAGGATTCGCTGGCGGCATGAATCGGCGCTCGGTATCTGCCACCATCCCTGGATACTGGAGGAGATGGTGATGGCGGATTTACTGATCTTTCAACCCCAGGTGATGATCTAAGCTCTACCAATATCCTCAGGACCGGTCACCACACGAGCTTGGACCAAACAGACAGATGTGAATTTGGGGATATCGATAAAACCAGGTCCGTTGAAGAGCAAGAGCTTTATCCTACTGTGATATTTACCACCTAATAACTGCCCGGGCTGACTGTCGTTAAGACGATGATTTCAAGATACCGTTTTCTTTGAATGGAGCACCCCGTATCGAAAAAGAAACTGACATTCCGGTGAATGGGCTCCAGCACGCGGAGGGTTTGAAATGGTGGGGACATTGAAAATGAACGCCAGAAAGAATTTAGTCAAATCTAACTCGAGCAAGTGCGGCTGTATTCAACACCTATCCGCTCTTTCGTGCGTTTTCAACTGACGAGGCCAAAGATGCTTCCATCCGGCTGTCTGCGGGATTGATTCAGTTGCTTGGAACATAGGGAAAAATAAGCAGTGTTATCTTCGCCGAGATTAATTGGATCTAGCCCTAACTAATCCATTCCAACGGGGATAGCGTCGCGCGATAGTCAAGTTTCATTCTGTTTGACTTCCTTAAGTTATACTCTAATTTGTCCTTGGGAAGGATAAGTTGCATGGTTCTGCGCCTCTCCGCAAGCGTTCCGTGTCTGTTTGGGCAAAGACTCTCTCAGTATGGTACAGCTGATAGGCAGCAGAGGACGCTGATCCCTGCTTTTTAGATTCACACCCTTCTTTCCAATGAGCCGGTAGCAAAACAATTCCCCTACATCCGGAGGACTTAGCTGTCTGCCTACGGCGAACATCTTTATCTCCGATCCCGCTTACCAGTATGCCAAACCCGTGTGATTTATAACCAGTAGTTAACTAGTTAGCTTTGTGCGGACCAATTATTAATCAGACCTGTGTGTTGGGCAGATCACAAATCAGAAGCTCAGCCCGCCCGAAAGGCAAAAGCTAAGGATGGGCAGATTCACCGCAACCGCAATAGAACTTTCTCACGGAAATATACTTTGGGAGCTAAATCAGTAAGCAACCCTACTCTGCGTATGCTGCATACTGTATCTGTGGTGTCTAGCAGGAAGAAAATAACATGCGAATTAGTTATATATAAATGATATGTAGTAACTGGCACCTGAATCCAAATCCTGCATAACTCTTTTACTCTTGCTCCATCCACAATTGCAAAGTATTACCTTTTCGTCAACTGGAAATTACCACCTCATTTGTATATACAGAATGATGCCCTCCTGGTTGACAGTTCTCTTGTTATCCCCCTTAGTTGTGGGCCTCGACCTACCCAACTATGAAGGACTTCTGACCTCACAAAAACCAGGTGTCCTGGAAGTCACGTTCCATAACAGACATTCAACAACAAACCTTTGGAACGGAGATACTCTATTCGGCCTGACCGACATAGTGCGCAGACTCCAGAATGACAATGAAACCAAGGCTGTGGTCTTTAAGAGTGATGTTCCCAAATATTTCCTTAATCATTTGGACCTCCAAATTGAGCCCTTCGGTTAGTATAACTAAGTCGGAGCCTGCAAAGCACTTGCTCCATTTCCTATGAAGTACTTCTGACTGAATCTATTAGATCCCACCGTTGCAAGCCGTATGATTGAACTGTTATACAACATGACAAACCTGCCCCAAGTTACAATTGCTGCTGTCGAAGGGATAGCACGTGGTGCGGGGAACGAGTTCCTTGTCTCGCTCGATATACGATTCGCGACCAAGGCCCACACGCTGTTAGGACAACCGGAGGTGGGAATGGGCCTAATGCCAGGCGGCGGAGGTGGTCAATATTTGCCTCGCTTGATTGGACGCGGTCGTGCAATGGAGATTATATTGAGCTCGAAAGATGTTACTGCTGAGGATGCGGAGGAAATGGGTTGGATTAACCGAGCTTTTGATACGTCAGCCGAGATGCATGCGCATATCGACGACCTTGTGTCGCGCCTGGTCTTATTCCCACTTGGATCTCTTGGAGCTGCCAAGCAGTCTATCAATCGGGCGACAAGACCCCCTCTAGAGGACCTCTTGATGGATGCCGCAAGTTTCTTAGAACGCCTGGCTGACCCGGCTGTGCAGACTACCATTGCCCGAGCACTGACCGCAACCAGGAACCAGTCAGACAGCTACGGGGAGCAGTTTCTTGGGGAGGCTATTCCCACCTTTTACGGTTAACCTACAGTGTAGCTAGTTTTGCTCCTCAAGCGCTGGCAAACTGTTTGTATTGGCCTCTTGCAAGCTGAATAAAGTCTTTCTTAGAGCTTACTTTGTCAAGAATATGTTTGTTGTGTGGCAACCTATATACGCGGTAGCCGTTACTACTTCTATCAAGGCTGTTCCTCAAACCTTGACGTTACCTATTCGAGGAAAAGCAATAGAAGAAGGAGCTTTACACATTCTGTTCTTTGTCACATCCTTGTTTAGTACTCTTACGTCGCCCTTATAAAGCAGTAAAGTAATCTATGGCCACCGAAGAGGATCGCACAATGCGTTGGCCATTAAGGGATACACTTCGTATTTCATATAAAGCTGCACATCTTAGACACAGCCGTAAGCAGGAGAAGAAATTGCTGAGCACTGCTGCTTGGCCTTAGCAGAGGATTGGTGCCTAACAACGGTTATGATACCCTGTCAACTCTTGGCTCTCATTCCCAAAAGCGCAGGTTTAGGCAGTTTCCCTTCCTAGTCGTCTCCATCAGAGCACGATAACATGAGAGCACGTTTCTTAATTGACAGTCGAAACTTACGTTGCCCTAGAGCCGAACATTCTGCCTCGCTGATGATAACACGGGTATTGTTCAGTGAAGAATGCGGAGTAAACAATGAAATAAACAAGACAAACCATACATTGGGCTACCGCGAAACACTTCTAAGTCCAATCCCCAACTCATTCATGCTCCTACTGTTATCGATTTTGAAATGAATGCCAATGTTCCTAGCAACCCACTTCATGGACACACGGTCCCGCCGCATAGAATAGGATTTTCGGAAGACTGCGGCTTGATAGTGCCGTAGGGTTTCGACGGATGGGGCGAACAAACTCTGCCATCTCCAAGAGCCCAAGACTATGGTCATCCGCAATGTTGTGTAGCACTACAACTCAGCGCTTCGCAATCATTCGCTGGTTTGCTATTTCCGGGTCGCCCTGATACCTGCCCTTAACGCCGTATTAAGAGCATCAGATACGTTTCCCTGTCAGCTGTACTATGTTTGAACCAGACTATGGTGAGTAAGTACTCTTAACTCCGGTTGCCACTCAGCAGCGCGGAGGAACAATTGCACCAGTGGCCGATCCAAGCTCAAACTCTTCCGGAGGAGAAAGAGTGGAAGAGGAGGTCGCCCCACATCTCTAGCCTTCTTGTTCAGAAATTGGGATTAATACTAAACTAATTTGGTTTCTGATTTCTGAGATTGACGGCGCAAAAAAACCCCAAGTTAAGACGAGTTGTAGTGTATCCTTTCGGAATAGTCCAGCTCGGATAAACTCCAAATAAACGTTTACTGCCTCCATTGCTTTACCAGACAAAGGGGCCAATAGTGGGCCGGGCACTTGGTTCTTACTGGCCAAAAAAAAAAAAAAAAGAGCCATGTTTGAAGAGGGACAACACTAACCTTGAAACTAAAATTCGGCAAGTTCACTAATCATCATGGTCTAGGCATCATCAGTAACTGGGCACGGATAATGACCGATCTATGGAGTATAATTCTTGACGCGTGAATATTATCATGTGTCTCATGCTATTTAAACCATCAACCTGCGTCTGGTCAAGGGTGTCTTAACCTCACTCGATCGCTGATACAGCATTGTCGCGTTATCATCACCCTGGTTCCTTGTCTTTTCTATCGCAGCCATCATGTCAGCAAAACTTATCTTTGTTACCGGAGCCTCTGGGTTTGTTGGTTGTGCTACAGCGCTAGTCGCCCTCAAAGCTGGGTATAGACTTCGTCTCTGCGTCCGGAAAGAAGCCCAGATCGACCGCATCAAGTCCGTCCTATCACCTTATCATAGTCAGCTGGATTTTGTCGTCCTCCCTGATATTACCAGAGCATCTTCCTTCTCTGGCCATCTAGATGGAGTCGACTATGTTTTGCATATTGCCTCTCCTCTTCCTGCCGGAACAAACAAGGACGATTACTTCCCAGGTGCTGTCGCCGGAACCACGGCTATCCTTTCAGAGGCAGCCAAGGTTTCAAGCATTAAACGGGTTGTCATCACCTCTTCTATCGCAGCCTTGATGCCCCTAGGAGGCCCACCGTCAGATCATCCAGTTAGCGAGCACGTGAAGGCCTGGGACACTGCCATCTCTCCCGATCTTCCCGCCTTCGACCCATCGGCCAACCCTCACCCAATGGTTCTCTATCAGGCCAGCAAGCTGTTGGCACTACAGGCCGCTGAGTCCTTCTTGTCCACCCATCATCCTTCCTTTGATATGGTGACTATCCATCCCTCTTTAGTATGCGGACCGAACATCCTTCAGTCCTCTGCGGCTGAAGTAGGTGGCAGCAGCGGTATGTTGTTTAGTGCGATCATGACTGGAGCGGCCCCAGCTGATCCCAGCGCTTTGACACTTGTCCACATCCAAGATGTTGCCGAGGCGCATGTCAGAGCACTGAGTCTCGACGTACCGGCTGGGAGATACTTAATCAGTTCTCCTGGAGGCACTCGCTGGTCCGACATAGTTGCCATACTTAGGGAGAAATTTCCGGATGTACGCTGGAAGCTCAGTGGAGAAACCGAAGGTCAAGGATGGGTCGTGGACACGACGAAGGCAGAGGAAGCACTTGGTTTTAAGCCACGGGGATTGGAGGAGATCGTTCGTGACACGGTGGATTTTCAACTACGGTTGATAAATGAAACGCAAAATTAGACACGCCGTCGAAGCTCTCAGCCTTGAGACCCTATGGCAGATACTATCCCACCAACCCCGCAGTCATTGTTGGTTACACTTGATTACAAAGACGAGTGCACGTTGCAATATTGGATTGTTTCTCAAGTTTTACTACCCAGAGGGACCAAACTAAATGCAAGAAGGCCTAGATAGCTGATAGCTGTGATCTGGTCTTCAGTGATGTATATCTGTAAATTACAATAGGGTTGCAGCCAATCCACGTGTGCCTATTCATAGTTTGCGCTATACGCAGGTGGCTGGAACAGTGGGTACATCTGCAGGCAAGCAAACCAACTGTGGGCGCCTCTTCCTGGCCACGATCCACCCGTTTAAATGCCTACTGCGAAACGCAATTACGCTTACGCTCTAACCTTGTAAAATCCACAGTAAATTTAGTTACTCCAAGAGACGACTAATTTAGCATGGCTTAAGATGCAATAGAAGTCACTCGTATACAGCTTTATTTTTTCAGTACTTGCCCCTCATTCATATCCTGCTGCTTTGTAATTATTTGTTTCTTCAGACCATGTTTGCCTGGAATCATTGGGAACAATTGATAGGTCGGAGATCTCCGTCGCAAGCTACATAGTCATGAGGCAAATGACTAGTTGCTGGAGAGCTATCTTATTTCACCTAGCTCCCTGTCAATACGTGAATGGCTGGAACGGGGGTATGGCATTTGTCAATTCTGACTTTTCATTCCGTTCCGACTTCCTCCTTACTCTCTGCTAACCGCTCATGTGTAAAACAGTAAAAGCGTCTTTCTGCCCGCCAAGGTATTGCTAACTAATCAATTGATGCCCCACCGCCTGATAGGCGCTTAACTCTTATTTATCGGGAGTCGGGACCTCTCAAAAAGTTGAAGTCAGACCAGTTAATTTTCGCCGTAGAGCGAAATACTTCACTTCTACTAATGCCTAGACGACAATGTCAGTCTAGGTCCCATCATGGGTGTCAACAATGTAAACGCCGGAGTGTCAAGGTACAGTAGGCTGTGGTCATTCCTCACTACGTGAGTGTTCGAGTTTTAACACGGAACACTACTCAAACACAGTGCGATGAGCATCGACCGAAGTGCAAAAATTGTGAGCGCCAACGGAGTACCTGTGATTACGCTTCATCAGGCCGCTGGCAGTGGAAGGTCGACATCCGAGGAAGCCGTGGCGAGGCATCCATTCCAGAATACAGAAGACTTAACAATGCCCTGGATCAACCCGGAGCCCAGAATCTGCAGCGAGAACATCAAGCAGAAGAGGCGAATATCCAACATTCCAGGTTGCTCATACACTGGACGACTGCAGTGTATCAATCGGTATCTCGGAGCAGGGATGTGGAGTGGATTTGGCAAGTTGTGATTCCAAACCTATCCTTAACGCAGCCATGCCTACTGCGTGGGATATTTGCACTCTCCTCTCTTCACCTCAGCCTCTCCGCAGCAAATTCTACAGATCGTGAAGATCTGCTGCAGAGTGCGTTGAATTATCACAGCCAATCATTACAGCTCTTCGCTCCAACCCTGGAGGACTTGACCCGTTCGGATTGTAACGCAGCATTTTCTCTATCACTCATCTTGATTCTATTCTCCTTTGCTGCCCCCTTATTGGTGGTTGGAGATTCCGACATGGACGCGATATATGAATTGTACCAGGTTTGCGTATTCGTCAAAAAGATGATGAATTTCTCGGTGGGTATCTATGAGACTGTCAAGAAGGGGGTTCTGGGCCCGCTCGTCCACATAGATGACTCCGTCTCTGAGTTGTCTGGCTCTCCTCTTACAGCCATTGCCTGTCTGAGTGACCTAAATTCGAGGGCTTACGACAGGAATCCCAGCCATGAATTCCAGATGTACCAAGAATCAATCGATCGTCTAGTAGACCCTTTTGGGAAATTAGGCGATCCCGGAAGTCATCGACTATCAGGGGTCTTTATGTGGGTCTTCCACGTTCCTGATCGGTTCTTTCAGCTGGTCCAAAAGAGGGATGCTTTTGCCCTCATCATTCTCGCTCACTTCTGTGTCCTATTGCACGATTTACGCAATCATTGGTGGGTGTCTTCTTGGGGATACAAAGTGATCGTGGCCATCTACCGGGCCTTGGACGCAGACCTCAGGTATTCGCTGTCATGGGCTTTGTTACAGATCGGGTACACGGGCGACATTTGATGGAATGTACTTGCATCAAAATCACAATGATCTAAGTTCGCCCACAACTATAGAGGTAGAAACAGTCGGTTTATCTATATTCCTCAGACGCTCTTGCGCTTAGCCTCGCTTTCATTTTCATCCCATCAATGGGTTTTGCTGTTACMTGTAACGTCTTTCAGAAGTCAGCCAACAAAATGCGAAATGCAGGTCGAGGTACAGGGGGTGATGTAATTACATTGTAGAGCTTGGATTTGGTCTCATACTGGCCATGAGAATTAAGAGCTGGCTGCCCATTTTCATCCATCGCGATCTCCCCGAGTCCCACTTTGGCAAAGTCATACCGCCTGACCACTGACGCCAGGATCAGACGAGCCTCTATCATGGCCAGTTCTTGCCCAATGCAATTGCGTGGGCCTCGTTCAAAAGGGCGCCAGGCGCTTGGTGGTCCGGCAAATCTTGCCTCACGGTAGCGATCCTGATCTTTGTTTTGACTCAAGTGCATATTCAATTCATCATCTTGCAACCAGCGCTCTGGTGCAAACTCGTCCTTGGACTCGCCGTACACGGTCTCATCTCGTTGAATGATCGTCGCACAATTATATAGGACCAATCCGTCCACGCAGGAAACTCTCCCATTCGGCAGCCTCAATGTGAGTCCCGATCCTCGTCCAGCATATCGGGCGCTCCCAGACGGGGGGTAGAGGCGGAGTGTTTCTTTAATGACAGCGGAGGTGTACCGCATTTTAGAAAGCAGGGCTTTCCCATCCTCCGAAAGCAGGATATTGCCCACAGATCTGGGGGAGGTATCTGATCCAAAAATAGAATCGAGCTCACGCCGGACCGCATTCATTGCCCTGGGAGTTCGGCTGAGTTCATATAAGGCCCACTGTAGCAGAATACTGGTCGTATCATGGCCCGCGAAAAGGAAAGTTTTGAGTTGGTCACAGGTCCGATCCATAATAGCTGGTGTCAGTTCATTTGCATCTTGCAGGATGAGTGTCAGGATACTGCACGACCGCAGACGTGCCGTCGCATTAGTCTGGGAGGCTCCTTTCACCTCTTCAAATGTCTCAGAAATAAAATCTCTAAGAAGGACATTCAATTTGCGGGCCAGCTTTCGTCGGCGTAGCCTAGCTAGCGTCACGACCCAGATGCCCCTGTGATTGTTATATGTAGAGCCGAGTTCTTTGAAAATTTTGACTATTTCACTTTGGCGATCCTCTCCGAGTTGGGCACATAAGTTGACCCCCATAGTCACCGCACCTGTTAACAAGAAACGCAGCGAGTTTAGATATCCTTCTCACGCGAAAACCAGGTACATGTCTCACCAATAATGTCAAAGGTCAAATTGGTACACAGCTCATCCAGTGTAAAATGCTCGCCGGATGCAGCGTATTGGTCGAGTATATCGACGAAGAGTAACGTCTTTTCCACCATACATGGGAGCAACGTCATTAGATTTCCCGTTGAGAAGCCGGGATTAAGTCGCGCACGCAGGTCTCGCCACTCATCCCCCTGTTGTGTTACGGATTACTACCTGAGACGCCACATAAGGTATTGCACAGAATGCCATACCTCAGCAGTAATGATCGATTTTGGCCCAATCAAGTCAACAAATGCCTTCGTCGTGGGCGATTTCGGGACACTATAAGGAAACGTTCTGGACTGCCTTGAGATTTGCTCTGCGACTTCATGGCTACAGACCACACACATGGGCCGTCCCAATGGCCAGAGATCTAGAAGGAACAATGGAGGTTTGCCCAAGTGCTCATAGATCGCTGAGAACACAATATCTACCTCAGGAGTCAGTGTCCTGTCGCTAAAAAAAGAAAAAAAAAAGGGGGGCGGCGGGATTGGGAACTGTATGCGAGTACCAACGTGTCTCTGGGGTTCACCACTAGTGATAAATTGATTTAGTGCTCCCAAATGTCCCAAGACCACTGATAGCTTTAACTGTGGCAGATCGGAATATTGACGGCGGTGCGAGTGGATCTTTCCGCACACATACGTAAAGGTTGCTACGAATAGCAGAGCAGATAAGGTGATAAATTGGGACATGGTATAAAATGTCAGTAAGCATAGAGAGTCCAACAACTGTTTCGAAGAGCGAGTGAGACCATAGCGAAGACAGCCAAAAGAGGTCATATATACAGTCGTGATTCTGATCCATGCGTTACAGTCGTCGTATAAGTGTTACGGACCTCGTAATTCTCGTAACAATTACCTGTTTCAGGAAGTTGGCGCCATTCATCAGACCCACCGTTGGGAGAAACGCCAAGCATCTGGGTTTGAGAGACCACTTCTGGTCTTGACAGCTTAGTGTTGGCGCAGTAAACACACTGCATAAACTAAGGCATTAGGCGCAGTAGTCGCATCCTCCAGTCAGTCTCTTTGACCGGGAGCTTGGCGTCGGACAGTATCTATGGCATGGCGACTGGTATTCTGACCCAGGCAAGGTTGTGTGGTATCTTTGGTAGCTTAGTTAATTAGTTATTATACATATTCTTGCTGAACTTGGAGGGCCCAGAAGCTGAGCTATATGACGGGGGTGATAGAAAGTTCAGTACCAAAATTACAGCAAAAGGTCTAGCAACTGAATAGGAGAAGCACCGCCAGCTCCGCAAGTGCAATTGTATACCCATCCCTCACCGATAGTCTGGGCAGTGGCTGATCCACGCTTGAAAAGCAGGCTATTTGCTAGAATGTGGACTATCAACAATTACACGCTCATCGTCATTGTGGATCATATTGATATGGGCTTTGCTCGATTCTTTTCCTTGCAGAATCAGGGAGGAAAAAGAGAGCTCCAGGGACATAGCATATCAAGAAGGCAATGGCATAATTATTGGGGAGACTGTTAACCATGAGTTTCACTCGCCAAGCATGTCTTAGCTGGACCCGTAAGGATGCTCGTGTTTAGGGTACAGGAATAACAAAGGGGTTCGATATTGACTTTTCACGGCGGCAAGTACAAAAGGGCACAAATCTAGTTTGCGTACTTGGCCACAAGGCTCTTGAGTTCCTCCTCTCCTATTGGCTCCACACCCAGCAAATCGTTGCTAAGACTTTCGGTGGTGAACAGGCTGCCGAACCCTTCGCCGAAAATCGCTCGCCGGAGGAAGTTGAAAACAAATACTGTTGGGTCCGGGTTTGGCTTGCTGAGTTCCGCAAAACCAGCCTTCTCCAACTCTACCGTGCTAATGGACTTGGTGGCCAGTTGTTTGCCCGAGATCTTCAGCAGCTGCTTCTGAGAGACATCTGCCTCACGGATATACACTGTGCGATTCTTAGTGGCCTCGAGGTTGTTGATTATGCCGCAAACACCTTTGCCCACTCCTGAAAGCGTAGTGGTACTGAACTTTCTATCACCCCCGTCATATAGCTCAGCTTCTGGGCCCTCCAAGTTCAGCAAGAAATTGACCATGAGACCCCAGTCCAGGAAGGGACCATTGATCTGAATAGTATAGGAGAATTTCCCAGCGGACTCCTTTGACTTTTCCTTGAGATATTTTTGAACAGCAACCTTGTCTTGGTAGACTGGTAGCTTGGCCGCATTTTCATTGGTTGTGTCGGAGCCGAACTCTGAGGGAATGAAGCGCTGAACCTGGGCAGCGACAGCAGCATCCACCAATCTGAGATGTATATCTCGAGATATAGCTCCGAGGGTGTTGACGACTACATCGTGACCACTCAGTGCTGAGGTCAAGGACTCCAAGGAGCTATAGTCGACCGGTACAACTTGTGCTCGTCCGAAATCGTCCTTGTTGTGACTTCCAGCCCTAGTCAAGACAGTCACCTCGAAGCCCGCGCTCAGCAGAGCTTTAAGCACAGCTGGGCCAAGATTGCCACTCGCCTGCGGATCAACAAGGTTAATGGTTCTGATATCATATGTGTTGGAGGATCGTTGTACTTACCCCCGCAATTGCTACTCTGGGTGACATCGTTTTACAGGTGGTATTTTACCAATAGAAGTGTTGGGATGAAGAATAACCAGGTAGAATATGCTGAAGACCTTTTGGATGAGTTCTTTCATCTGGGTATTTGGGCAGCCTTATATAGTTTTGTTTCAACAGTAGGTATTCCAAAAAGAAGCCTACTTTACAAATGTGGGTCTGTCATGATGTAAGAATGCTGGAAATGGAAGACCCGACGATCCGGAAAACTTTAATTTGGTGAATAAATTCCTTTGAAGGAAGGATAACCGTGCATAGCTCACATAATCATCAGATGATTCGTCTGGTTGACTGGTTAGTTCCGCTTAGATTAATAATACGCGGAACTGCAACAGAACAAGTTTGTCCTGCTAACTCGATACATTGGCCAGCCTCGATTGTAAAGTCTACCTAATTCTCCCTACATTTTCTCCCCCTTTCAAGCAGTTGGCACTTGTTGATGTCATCCACTGGTATTGAGGGCTGATTTATTTCATCCGTCGAGATGAGTGAACATGAGTATGCAGACAGGCAGTACGCATTCGCCCTCAGGAGCTGCCGTACTTCTCTGGAATACTCACTCTTGGTGGTAGTTCGCACCTCCAGCCGCTCGTTGATAGAATACAAAGGCTTGATGCGCTTGGAAATAATATCTCCAGTAATTTAACGGATCACTGTTGGTCTGCCCTATCCAATGGTTACCGAACTGTGCCAATTTGAACGGTACTAATACTTAAAATCAGCTACTGACTTCTCTTCGCGGAATCCTCTGCTAAATATACCCGTAATCTCGCCCGATATAGCCTCTTACATCAAAGAAGAAGTCACGAAGTCGGAATTTCTGGATTCCTTGGGTCTAAATCTGGCTAACAACATTTTACAACCTCCTATTCCTATACCTCAATCCTACTCCAGCAATGACATGCTCGACTTCGAGCCACAGAGCAGGAGAATGATCCGAATTTCTCTGCCACCACCCGACGAAATCCAGGAATTGCTTAGCGCCTACTTTCAGTCTTTCAACTCGCTTTACCCCTTGTTCCAGGAGCCTACATTGAGAAGTTTAATTCAAGATGCATTGGTGCTAGAATCTCATCTCGATGCAGGTTCTTGGGCATGTGTTTACGCAGTCATGGCTATATCGTATAAGATACAGCTATGGAATACATCTACTCCTGATCGCACCGTTGGAGCAGCATGGACATACTTTAATGCTGCAATGCGCCTTGTGCCTGACATAACCGTTTCTGGGACCAGCCTACGAAATGTGCAGGCATTATCTATCATGGTAACGTTACCTTGCCAGTCTCTTGTTTGTCTACTGAACATGATGGCCAGTCGGTCTTTCTGCAAGGCGAGATGCACTTCAATAATGCCTCCAGTATATTGGGGGTAGCCATCAATCAAGCCACTGGTCTTGGAGAAAGTCTGGAATCTCGCTCGGTCTTTTCAGAAGAGACAGCGACCCAGTATGTTTTGTATGTTTTGGATAAGGAGTAGGATTTGCGCCACCCTGATTTCTTGATGGCATAAGGTCTCACATGGTTAGGTTTTCGTTTCGGTCTGGACTTCCATCGATCATCAAAAGTCATTATCCTATGGTGGAGCAGATGCTGGATAATAACCGCAGAGCCTCCGTGTCTCAGTCGTTCGGAGAAAGCCAGTGGTCCCTGCAGCATTTCGTTTCTCTCGCGATGATTACAGAACGGATATACCAGACGCTCTATTCGGCAAGTGCGAAAGATGAAAGGCCAGAAAATTTACTGAAATTGACGGCTGGTCTGGATCAGCAACTGGAGACTTGGCGAAATAACCTCCCACCTGACATATCATTGTCCCTTAGCTGCAGCGAGGACGATAACTCTCGAAGCGTGTTTTCAATATCGCTGCTGAAACTGATGTACAACAACTGCCTCATCGCCATTCATCGCTTGGCCGCAATTCACTGTCCTTACACAGGTTTACTGTCCCGGATAGAGCCATCATCTCCGCTCTTTTCTTGCATCAGGTCATCCACAACGAGACGTACTGAGGCCGCCCTGGATTCAATCCGTCTACTCCAGCATCTAGGTTCATTGGACGCTTTTCCATTCTGGTAAGTGGAAGCCTAGCTACGGCGACGTGTTCAACTCGCGTAATAACTTCCTTGCCTACAAGGCTTGTCCCACCCTATATCGTCGATGCCGTTCTCGTTCTCCTGGTGTCAGCCATAGTCGATACAGACGATTTTTACACCCTGGAGATTTTCCAGGCCGTGGACTCGGCGGTAAGCTTTATGCAATTGGCTAATGATAGATCGAGAGGCGAATTCAGCCAGATTCTTCGCATATCGTCAGGTGCGGTGGAAATTGTTAGAAAGATTTCGTGCAAAAGGAAAAACGATATCGACGCAAGAAGAAAAGCACAAGTCGCCATCCAGAATTCTCTGAAAGAGCTTCACCGTGCAAGGCAAAGACAGCGGAATCGAAGGGAAGTCCAAGAAAAGTTAGAACTACCTAGCATATCCCGTCCAGCTTTGCCGGGTGCGATGTCGGGCTCCCTACTCGCTACAGCACATGCTACCCCTCAGTCACCCCGCGGAGGTGTAGTATCAGATCAGCCGTTTCAAAATTGTGGAAGGGACCTTGGACGCAGAACAGAGTCTGTGCCATTGGATATTGATATAAGCTGGGAAGATTTTATTCTTGATATTTAAATTCCTGTTATCTCCGTACAACATGTCGAGTACAGAGCAGGAGCACAGGCAAAATAGTCGGGAGGAAAGCGGAACAAATATGACAATATGCAAATTACACGTGTAGGTACAGATAATGTCAGGCAAATATCTTGGGAACTCACATGGTCATTGGCTATGTAAATCCTGTGTACTGCACGACTGATGGAGCGAGCGATAGGTAAGATGGCACCATTCAAGAGCAGCGCACACCTCCTCTGAGCCCAAATTCCCACCAGACTCTCACCTTTTTATGCAGTCACCGTTTTCTCAGGCTGCTGGAACTTTACCATCATGGCAATCGACTGGTTTTCCCAATCGAAGACCTCCTGCGGGATTGCATGGTCACGGGCAGCCTTGCGGGCCTCGATGAAGGCCCGGGAGACCGGCGCCGGGTCAGGGTGTTAGGGATAGTGACAGTCTGTGCAGTAAACCTTAGCTTTAGGGTAAAGGTAATACTATAAACTTCCTCAAGCAGTATAATGATATTAATATTTAGTCATAAGCAATCATATAATCATGACTAGAACCATGTCAAACAAGAAACACAGATAAAAAAAATTAGAAAAATAAATCAAAACCATACAACAGCATAAGTACAGTGATGGTCAGGAGGTGCTGCATGGGCAGCTTGCCGCCCTGTTCTTTTCCTCAGGAGACAGGGCATTTCAGGCCCCTGTTCACCCACCCGAATATTATTCGCCCACACTAGAAGGAAGTCACTTTTGTGCAAAATAAGACCAGTAAGCACCCTCCCCCCTTTTGAACATAAGATGTGAGGTCTACACAGTTAATTTTCTTTAACCTAAACTATACACTATTAAGCTGTTATCTTGTTTATGCCAGCGCCTCTAGGTCCAGCAGGTCAAAGATTGCTCGACCTTCCAAAGATATTCTTTTCTTCCTTGAAGCTGTCATCGGCCACTGGCTTATGAGATGCCCAAGCCTGTTCACCGCTCGTGCTCGGCGAGTATCTTTCGTATACTGCCAGTATATTGCCGTGGCCTGTTTTCTCGGAAAGATGCTGGTGTTGGCACTGAAAACCAGATGACGCCAGCTACCTACTCATGAGCAATACCAGAAGCCGTACGAGCGTCGTGGGCTGCAGTTTCCGAAGGCTTTCTGAAGGGACTTCATTATATACTCATGCGTGCCAGTTACCCCGCTCTTACAGATGCGAAGTTGGCCATGCAAATTAACAGATTATTCAGTGGAATTCGAATGCCGTACTAGCAAAATCGGACAGAGGTCAACTTCAACCGGTAGTCCAGCAGCGCATTTGCCAGGATCTACAACCATTATTATGTCCACACAAGGTACAGATAGCTCGCCCCACGGCCTTGATTTATATCGGCAGTGTAGTTCGTGTATCCACTTTGCCCGATCCGTGTCTTGATCTGTTCAGGGGTAAGTTCGTGTTCGGTGCGAAAAAGGCCGACTCTAGTAATTGGCCTTTCGCCTTTGGGCTCAGCGGTGATATATCGATATTCATCCTTTCTCTGCAAGGCCAGATTGTTGTAATTTCTGATCTCACTCTTCGGCTTTTCAAAGGATAGATGGGTGATCGCTCCCTCTTTCTCGGCAGTCCATTGCGGCTGAAGCCACACATACCTAACGTTATTGTTTGATATATTAGGAATAAGGGAAATGAAATGGAAGAGAGGATGAGGATAGATGATGCGGTCACTTACAAGCCCCCCACGCCCTTGTTGATATCAGACGACAAGCCTTGCAGCTCGGTGACTATGTCATCAGGCTGAGAAGCCTCTTCCTCGGCGTACATAACCTAGCACACATTAGCTCCAAGAGTAAGAAGCACTTTGCTCTGTCAGTTGCTCATACAACCAGATTGGAGAGGTACTTCGGCATATTATTTGGCGTGTCTTAACGACGGGAGACCGATGCGATATTTTGTAGAATGATGCGGAAGTGTGATGTGACTTCTTAATTGAAGCAGCAGCCTGGTTTCAACGATGCTTTTATATCTGCCCACTTGCTGTTTCGTCAGACGTGTCACCGTGCATGGGATAAGTCTAAATTCGAGCAGATTATAGACCCAAACGTAGGTCTTATGTCACGTCGTAAGAGTACATATGCGGCTTGCGCTTCTGAGGGGAGAAATATGCAGGCATTGCTAGTGGTAGATACTACCTGAATGACATAGAATTACGCCAATTTGCAATGGAAATGAAAATCAGGCTACAAGATCAGAATCAGCCAAAAGTGACTCGGTTCTAAATTAGTCATTCTTGAACCAGAAAGGAGGCGGTTGGGTGGGCGAGAGCTGCGGGTAGGGAAGTGCCTCTATAACCCCAAGGTTGATACACCTGGAGCACACCCTAAGACAAAGAGATATCCAATACTAGTAGCCGACGAAAAGAATAAAAGAGCAAATCCAACAAATCAAATACAAATTGAATAACCTGCAGTCTCGGGGCGCCTGTAATTGCCAGTCCCTTTGGGATGCCACGTAACTCCACCTGGGCAAGGAGACCACTTGCTTACTGGTTACTTGGTCGGTCAGAGGTTCGTCGGATGGGTTGGAAGAATCAGCAGCTAGTTTGCTACATTTTCAGTATTAGCGTTGCAATGCAGAACGCGTTAACTCAAAGCGACTAGGATGATAGTGAGGAACGCAACAATTGCTGGGCAGTCTTTTTAGTTACTAACCCTCTCCGTATTGAAAGGAGTCGTAAGCATAATATGACCTGGGCTGGCTAGGAGTTTCCAGAGTGATCTACGTTAGTCTGCATACTGCGACCATTGGAAATGCGGAAGGCAGGCCCGCTTTTGGAAGAAGCAAGTATCTGAACGGATGACAATTACTTGTCACATACTCCTCACATCGAGCCTTGCCACCTCATTCCAACTTCAGGGGTATCTGGTCTCAGGAAAAGCCACTCCTGCCGTGTAGGGAAAATGTACGAAGCCCGGTACGGCAAGGACAACACAGCTGCATGCGCAAAGGGAGGATTTGGAATAGAACACTTTCATCACTTCTAATGCCTGTCACTAGCTACATGCAGACTTAATGCTGCGGAAGAAACCGGAGTTGGAAAAAGAAAATAATCTACAGAACAAAGGCTACATGACCGCAAGCAAGGTAGTAATGGATCCCTAGAGCGGCGGTGGATAATTCTCATCCGTGACCCCGAACCGGTAGCTAGAAGTTTGGACTGATAGGTCACTTTACTCGCCCCCCTTCATGAGAGAATTCTTATCGAGTGGAATGGATCAAAGTACATGACGTCCGCATTCTATAGATCAGGACATATAAAGATTGTCTACTATTCCCCTCTCGTCCTTGTGTCTTGAGCTGGTCCCCCCTCCCTCTTACTGTCCCTTATTTTCTTCGTCTGGAAGGTCTGGGCTCTTATTAATTGCACATTCCCCTCGCTTCTCAGGATGGGCTTGGGTCTGCTAAACTGGAAGATGCATCCGCAGGCTATCACGCAGCCTCAGGAGGACGACCGCGATTACAAGTTGCGGTTCGCTAGTGATGGCACGTTCCAAATCACAGTCTTCTCGGACCTGCATTTGGCAGAGCGTGAGTAATTGCCTTGCCAGGGAGAGATACGAAACTGGATGGTATCTAATATGGACTGTGGGAGCAGATGAAAGCGAAGTAAAGGGTCCAGCGCAGGACTTGAGAACCGTGGCTGTCGTGGAAAAAGTGCTAGACCACGAAAGTAACTCTCAACTGGTCGTGCTCAATGGAGATCTGGTATCTGGTTACGGCACTGTAGCCGACAATGTGACTAGCTATCTAGATGAAATCGTCTCCCCAATCGTCAAGAAGCAGCTTCCATGGGCATCGACGTACGGCAACCACGACCATCAGCGTTACGCAAACAGCTCGAAAATATACGACAGGGAGAAGACTTACAATAACAGCCTGACCCAAAGGATGGTTCCCGGTGACCCTGAAGACGTGGGCGTGTCGAATTACTATTTGCCCGTGTATGCAGCGGATGGAACTCCGAACGTGCCGGAAGTCATTTTGTGGTTTTTTGACAGCAGGGGCGGACAATACCTCAGAGATGGAGAGAATCGACAGGACTGGGTTCATGCCTCGGTGAATACATACCCTCATTGCTTGTCTCACAATATGCTAAGTAACTGCTCGAACAGGTTGTTGAATGGTTTAAACAGAAGAATAGCGAACTCACACACCGATATGGAAAGACCATCCCGTCACTCGCGTTCTTTCATATCCCTATAGCTGCAGCACACTACTTTCAGAAGAATCCGGGCGTCGACCCGAGTAAGGAACCGGGCCAGAATTTGGAACCTGTTGTGTGGCAAGGCCAAATGTACGATAATAAAACTGGCCATGATGTGGAGTTCATGAGAGCTCTGTCGAAGACAGATGGCCTGTTAGCTACATTTAGCGGTCATGATCATTGCAATGACTGGTACGATGGAAAGCCTTCCCTTTGGTCGCCTTCTCGTCATCAAGGGACATATATGCTAATTTTCATTTCTCATAGGTGTTTTAAATGGACTGATGATCTCCCTGGCCAGGATGTACCGGGAAACAACGTGAATGTCTGCTACGGTCGTCATTCTGGATATGGAGGATATGGACATCTGGCTCGTGGTGGACGACACATCGTGCTAAAGAAGGACACTCTCCAGAAAGAGGTGGTGACCTGGATTCGACTAGAGGACGGTTGGATTACCGAAAATGTGACGCTGAATGCGACATATGGCCATGATGAGTATCATCCTGTCCCGGTGCACTTGGAGCTCAAGAGGAGCACGGCCGAAAGCATAGGCGATGGACTTACTCCAGGTATAAATTCGGCCTTGCTCTTCCTCCTCCTGGCGTTCTTTCTCCAGCTAAGGTTCTGAAACTGATCGATTTTTGGATATTCACCTTGTTCCCTTGACCGACTGGGTGAGAATGCTTTCTATTCACAGTTGTGAAACATGCTGTCGTTATTCGGTTACTTAGTCCCCCGTTCAGTTACCCTGTGTTCTCTCAGAAGAAGGGAGCGTCGACACTTGAGGGCCTCTTCAACACATGCGTGCTAAGGGGAACAAATGGACAGCTTAATGGTGGGTGTAGATCATCTAGCTTTGAAATTTGACAACTTGCCTTTCAATGTAAGCTGTTCCTTTCACTGATTCCCGTTGGTGCCGCTTCTCCCTGTATAGACGCATGAAAATTGTCACACTTTAGCCAACAGAGGCCAGACATCATTCACCTCTTCCCTATGCCGTTACCCCAACCGGATATGGAAGTATGGGCCACCTAGTTCTTTCGTCTCAGCCTTATCTCGGAAAGTTGAGCTACAGCGGTTTCCAGAATAGCGAGGTCTGGTAGACTTGGTTGGCAGCAACGAAATTTGATAGACCGCTGATGAACATATGATCCTAGCTTGCACATATCCGAGCGTGCCAATGTATCCTCTCGTACTCTGTAACTGAATCATGCATGTCAGTGCGTTCGTACTCCCGTTCCAAAGTACTTGCTCAGAAGAACAGTGGCCCATGCCATCCGATGTCATCACCCAAGAGAAAAGACTAACAGCAAGGGGGCGCCGGGATCACCCATGAAGAAACTGAAGATTGCTCGCCAACAAGTTTCTGCATAAACGTAAGAGAGGAATGATTCCAAGTCCTTGCTGGAGGCTTGAGCGATGCCAAATCAGAGCAAGCATTAGGTTTGTCATGTAGTTGTATCTCTGTTTGTGGCAGGCCAATGCCTTGCTAGGCTCAGCCACCTGACATATTTGAAACACAGGTGGTGAACGCGACAGCCTCGAGCAGCAGCGGTATAGAAAATGCATCTCGGATATCACGAGGGCCGTGAGAAGGTCTCTGTACCTTGTCAAAGAGTACTGACGCCTAACCCGCCTTTCTTCGATTTTTCGAGCGTTTATAATTTTCAATTTGCAGTTTGCGATTTTGAAATTGTTCTTAATATATCCTCCCCCGCTCCGCCTGCTCCCCTCGTCTCCTCTAGAGGATTGGTGACAAGACAAGCCTACTTGATATATGTGTATGTAGAGCACTAATAGTATCTGCTATAGATAACAAAAGTACCACCATTAGTCTTGATCATCGTATATAGGAATGGTTCATGTTGAGGAGACACCTATCCGTTTCCTCCAATGGAATGGCATGCTTCCGCATCCCGGCATATCAGTGAAACCGGAGGCATGCATCAGGCTTCACAACAATTGGGCCACTGTCGCTCTACAGCGGGATTCTCGACGGGAATCAGGTAATGGTGGACATTTCTCGGATACTTGTCTTCTTTTTACTGGCGTCTAATAACGTTCCTAGGCTACAGACGCATGCAACGCAATGACTCAAGTCTAGAATCTACTTCGAGCTCCTATCGGGATCCATTTTCCGTTCCCACTTGTGTACATACTGATGAGTGTATGGGCCATACCTTGTAGCATGGGTTTTGCCTTCTGAGCAGTGGCACCACTGCTGGTCACGTTGTCTGGCAGACATCTTCCAAACAAGGAAGTTATGTTAAACTAGAAACTTGTCTTTTACGGCTTACATTGACTTGCTGGTAAATCTGTAACTGGCGCCTGTGGAATGTAGTGCGGGGGACTTTAGAAAGGTTCCAATAATACGAAGGTGAATTGCGCTCAAAAGTCATCGGATGCCAAAGGGAATCCTCCTGACACAATGCTGGATTGAACACATACATTCCGTTCGGGATCCCTTTCCAAGAGTAAAGAAGACGTTTTCACCCGGGCATTGAGCAGTATCAAGAATTCTTCAAATCCAACAGTCGCGTGATACAATAGTGACACCCTTCCTAGTCAGACTTCCACACAAGATAGAGATAGTCTCCACCACGACCCTTGTTGATATCCGTGGAGTACCCGTCGTATCCCAGCTGGTGGACTGTCTCAAAGCTGACACTCTCCTTACGGCGAAGAAGGGCAACATTAACTATCTTCTTACTGCCATCCTTTCGCAAGTTCAGGTATCTATAATCGCCGCCGGCACCTTTAGCCAGGTCGTCATACCTGTCATCCTTGTCCGCCTGGATGATGATGTCGATCCCGGAGACCTTGTTGGATGAGCCGGAGCCATATCTCGCAGAAAGCCAGACGTATCTTCAGCAATGCGCAAGGAACATATTAGTAAAGTAAATTTTCACTTCCTGAGGTATCTCGAGTTATGTAACGCTGTGGACTTACTTTCCCTTAAAACTGGCATTGATGTCGTCGTTGTTGGCATCGATAGTCCTGATGGCATCGGCGGGCTCGGAGGTAGGAGTCTCGCCGTAGGATACCTGGCGAGGAAAGTTAGCTGGGTCATTCTCAAGCAGAGCCGTATAAATTACCACTATATTTTCCAAGTAAGACATGGTTTGCTTGTTCGTGTGAGTAGATGACCACCGTGATGGATTACTTTTCAATGGCGTGGGGTGTGCGCGGAACAGGACGCTTGGTGATGAAAGGGAGTACGGGGAGGGTGAAGCATGCCCTTTTTATGTTGATGCTCCGGGCCAGTGTTGCTGCAAACGGCCTACATGACGTCTAGAAGACACCAGCGACCTCGCTCCTTGCTCGCTATGGTCATCACAGCTGAGTCGGAGACCTAGCCCTGCCTGTTACATGGCGAAGTTTTATTGGAGAATGGCCAAAGCTCGCAATGCCCGTTTTGCCAGGATATTCTCGCCTACGTGCTTTTTCCCTATATTCTGAGTAGTCCTTGGAATCTGGACTCCACAACCGAACAGCATTACGCAACGTAGTTGTTGGCAACAGGGGCACCACCGCATCTCCATGCTTTTATGCGTCTGAATTTGTATTCGTTGCTGGATTATGGGCCACAGGGATTCAGCGGGGCGAATGATTCGTCTCATAAACGAATCGATGCTGATAATTGAGTACTACAATTACGGTAAATACGTACCTTCGACCTTGGTCTTGCCCTCTTGGAAGTGGATTGGGCCTCATTGATGCAGTCAGAATGGAAGTCCAGCATCAAAGGAAAATGGATTTTATTATTCAACTTATAACTGGCAGCTACTTGTCTCCGGAAGGAACAAAAGGCCACTGGTTCAGGAATTATAATCGCACGAGTGTACCGCGAACCGTAGACGACACTGGTACGCTTTTAGAACCATGCAGCCCTGTCACATATTTTGACAGGCATTCGCTAACCCCCAAGTCATAGTAACCCATGAGTAGAGCAACTTTTCGCCCTTCTATCCTCCTTTCCTCTTCTTGTCAGCTGACCGTACCTTATGTATCTGGCCTTCCAGCACCAAACTGATGCCCGCTTGTATAGCTGCCAAAGCAAGCAAACTGATAGTCTGTCTTTCGCTTTAATCGGAAAACTCCTGTGGACGGTGCTCAAGTGCGCAGGACCTGTTTTCATTCATTTCACACACTTTGAACGCCCCTCCAATTGTATCTAAGCAGCGCTCAGCACAAGCCGAAACGCAATCTGTGGTATCTGTCCAAATAGACAGATCCGGCTTGGCGTACAGAACGGACCCAAATTGTTGAATGACACGTCAGCCGGGCCAGTCCAGGTTTCAGACGCCGCAGATAGAATGTGTAAAGGGGCGATTAAACTCGTGTAACTTCACCAAAAAGACAACAAGACTATATGACAGGTATTATGAAAGGGAGGGATCAGTTTTGTTATCACTATGACCTGTTACATAATAATTATTGCGAACCATACCAATTATGTTAGTCAGTGTATGCCCTGTGTTACACCTAGCTGCATGGGAACTACTATCACATTGCTGTTGCATGCATGTTAACCAGTCATTTACTCTAGGACCGCCAGGCAGCAATGAATGCATAGAATGTAGTGTTCTGCTTGAATGTAATGGAATTGCTGCAAGAGAGTAGGCTAGGGCCTTGAATTTTGATACAACTGAGTGCGCTTTTGATGTTTCACTGAGATGGATAACTGTTTTAGTAAGGTTGTCTCGCCCGCGGCGGGCCGCGGCGGGCCGCGGCCGTCAACCCGCTGTAGGTGGGGTATCTGTGCACCACAACGAGAACCATAGACATGGTGATGTCGGTAAGTAACTGAGCCTTAGGCAGCTCCACACCATAATCATCAACCACACTGCAATCGTCAGTTTTTGTCAAAACTGTATATTCTCATTAGTTTGAAGCTATTCCCACCACCCAATATATCTAAATCTACTAAATTTGATGAATCTAGCATGGCTAAGGCCTGCGGGCCGCTCAACGTAAAAAAAAACCAAATTTCCCTAAGATTACGTGTGAATATGGCAATCTATGTACAACCCTACATGACCACGTCAAAAACAATCATCAGTCCCATACAGCTCAGAAACCAGTCAATAAAGCACTTAAGAGTTACCAAGAAGCCTTGATACAGTGGATAGTCTATGTACATGATTAGAATATGCCAGTGACGCCTAAGCTACTAGAAGAGTATATAAATCAGGCATTTACTATAGAGCACCTGGGTATAGTAAATAAAACTATTAGTTAAATTAGGGCTGCGCAGGCCCCTCTATAGCACTAGTATACTAAGCAGTAGGATAAGCTACTTAGCTAGACTAGTATATTAAAATTACAAGATGTAAATTAATTAATTACTTTAAGAAAGGCTAAAGATACTGCTACACAAGAGAGATATTTATAAAAGCAGTAGGAGAAAGTGCATAGATCCCTCCTACCACAAGCATCTATACAAGAGAATGAGGTATTAAATGCATCAGCAGAGGCAGCAGATGATAATAGTGATTCTTTTTTATATAGATAACACCTGGTATGGCTTCAAAATTATGATTTTAATGAGAAATCGACGATTGCGGTGTGGTTGACGATTACACTGGGGCTCTCCCACACTGAGCAGTGTGGGTGAGCCTTAGTCATGGATATACGCCCACACTAGAAGGAAGTCACTTTGGCACAAAATAAGACCAGTAAGCACCCTGTCCCACTTTTGAGCATAAAGATTTGAGGTCTACGCAGTTAATTTTCTTTCACCTAAACTATACACTATTAAGCTATTATCTTGTTTATGCCAGCGCCTCTATGTCCAGCGGGTCCTCACCTCTGATACTGCGCCACCACTCGCTTTGTCGTACAAGTTCTCCCTCTTCACCACCTAGCAGAGACCAGTACTTCTTCAGAAACCACTCCTTGGCCTCCCAGCTGCGGTTGTCCCATGGAGTACCAGTCGAAGCATATCCAGTAGAAGCATCTAGATCATTCCTTCCAACGCCTGCCCCTCCCCAACACACTAAACCAATAACAGCATCGCGGAGAAATTCAACCTCGTCTACCTCTTGCTGGTGGAGGATGAGATTCTTCCTTAGCGTCCGAAAGGGCAGAACATCAATGTACGGGGGATGCTTGACAGTAATTTGTTCAATACTTGGCCGCAAGTCTGGCTTGAGTGTCATGAATATCCTCTGCACTGTGCAGATCATGTTTTTCTTGACCATGTCATCTGCTGATGCCCTAAGCGACCGATAGAATGGCGAGGGTGATTCCTTTTCACACATCATCTCCTCTGTAATGCTGATATGCATCCTGATAGTATCCATTGCGGCTAACGTACAGATTGTTTCCAGGCGAAGATGGTTGGCGTATGGATCTGGTGTAGGTGCGACAGGTCCAGTCCTGAGTATCCTGACCTCGGTGGAGCTGTATGGGCCGGGATGGTGCGTTTGTACCTTGAAATGTGGGCTGGAGCAATTACATTTGATGGTGGTGGTTATCCAGCATTGATCAATGCAGTCCTTATGTTTATCATGGATGAGAACGGAAGGATTAACGTGGGTTGGAGGAACCCATACACTCGGTGCCGACAAGGGAGTTTCTGATGGTGGGAATTGTTTTGTGGAGTCCGAGATTGCTAGTGTTGATGGGGAGATATCTGAATGTGAGAGTTGTGCAGTGTGATCCCTGAGTATAGAATCCCAGACGTTTGGCGACGATAGGGTGTTGCCTGAGGATGTCAGATGTGTTGTACAGTTCCAGATATTCAGTGTTGATGCGGCATGATCTGACTGTGGAAGAAGCTGCTGGCAATCCTTGGGAGTAGCCATTGATGAACTGGAAATCGACATGTCCCAGACATCATCACCTAGGATCGACTCGGATTGGATTCTGTCGGTCATCGGTGATCTCTGCGCCAGTGATGCTGCAAGCGTTTCGAGGTTCCCCAATCGCCCACGGAGCTTCTCTCCTAGAAGTACACTCTATCAGTAATTTCTTCCCCGATCTATCTTTGGAGAATCCAAGCCGCACTCACGGTATCTACGTTGCGCTCGAATGTTCTGTTGCCGTCTTTTTTCAGGGTCGCGACGGGCGGGTTTTCGCTTCTCCTTTCCCATGCTTTCACTCCGTGCTTTCTCCTCCGTCGTGTCTCGTGGCATCGTGTATATCGTTTTTGTCGTGTGGATCCTTAGAGTAGATGGATGGATGGATGAGGTAGGCTGGGTGGGGGCTGATGGGGGAGTGCGGAGTAAGACGACTCCAAAGACGTGGTCGGCCTAGGATGCCTGTCTACGGCGGACGAGAGCGAGCGACTGTGCTCCTTTTAGTAACTGGTCAGATTGTCTGTCAGATTGTTATGCTGTCACAGCAGGATACCTTATTCGCTCATTAGGGCTGGAATGTTCTACGACTGTTCCTCTCCATTCCCAGTATCTATGGAGCGGACCGGTATCATGATCTCTACAAATAAACCCCCGGCATTCCCTAGAATACATTTATTGGAGACCTCACGCAGTCAAGATGGACAGTGTGTGCATAGTTTGGCCGCAACGGGTCAAACGCGTTAGACCGTAGCGTCAGAGAGGGCCCCGTCCGCACTCACATGTGGGGAGGCAAGTGTCTGTACATTGGAATGGCTTTGCGGGAGAATAGGTGTCCAACGGCGATCTCCGCAGCATGCAACTAACAGGACAGATGGTTGGACACGGGTGCGGGTGGATTGCGGCCCGAAGATCTGGCTGACGTTAGCCCATCGATATAGTTATGGCTGATTTGGCTGGTGAGAGCCGTTGCTTGGCGGGCCGAACTGACAATAGTATCATGGATCGCGTCAGCCATGAAGCCAGGAACGGCGAGTAAAAGAGGCTGTTGCTTTATCTAGTGTGGCCTATCTTCTGCTCTCTCAATCTCCTATAACTACAGTTTGATACATTCGCTGATGCTCATTGGCGCCGGTAAACCAGAACACCTGCAAACATGAATGGAGACCATGAGGCCGGAAACGCCTCCAGTTCCAGTGTGGAGAAAAGGAAAGCGGAAGTTCATCAGCTGGCCAGACAGTTCACAGAGCAGAGCAACTATTCCACGGCGGGACAAAACCCCTTTGCTGCGGAGGCAGGATCGGCCCTGGATCCCAATG